GTCAATTAGTTTTCATAATAAAAGTAAATAAAGTCCTTTATTTATTATTATCTTTTAATCCTGGCATGGCTTCTACAATGTCTCAAAAGAAAAAAGAACACCCAAAGGAAAAATTACGGATGAAAGGAGATTGTTCAATGAAAAGTGGACAGATGACTACTTTTTTTGTCGAGGCAAATAGTAAGGCACTCTGCTTAATTTGTAGGGAATTTGTGCAAGTTTTCAAAGACTATAATTTTAAAAGGCATTATCTGCAAAAACATGCTGCCAAATTCAATGCAAATGGTTTGTGTCATAGGGACAAAATAGCAGAACTGAAAAAAAGTTTGTCTTCTCAACAAAAATGTTTTCAAAAAGTTATAACTCGGGTGGATTCCATTATAAAAACTGGTTATGTGGTAGCATATTTAATAGCAAAAAAGTCAAAACCATTTACTGATGGTGACTTTATTAAGCGACGTATAGAAAGCATGGCAGATGTAATTTGCCCTGAAATCAAGGGGTATCAATCTAAAATCAGTTTGTCTCATCAGACTATAGCCAGGCTAGCTGAGAAAACTGGAAAATCTATTGAAAGAAGTTTGGAATGTAAAGCTGCTAATTTTAAATTTTGTGCTCTGGTGATGGATGATCGCACTGATGCTCAACTTGCCGTTTTTATCAGAGGTATTGATGACGAATATAATGTCACTGAAGAAATGACTTCTTTAGTGCTGTTAAGAGACACAACTAAATCAAGAGATTTACACAAAGTGGTAAAAAATAGGTTAAAGTGATTTTTTTTTTGTCCATTGTCAACATATCTGGTATAGTTACTGATGGTGCCCAGGCAATGGTAGGTTAAAGAGAGGGACTTGTAAAATTAACAGAAAACAAGGCAATTGCCACCCAAAACTCACGTTTGATAAATTATCATTGCATAGTACATCAAAACAATTTATGCACAAAATCTTTAAAAATGTATTTCATGCAAATCGTCATCAACACTGTGAATTTCATAAGAGCCAAGGGATTGAATCATTGACAATTCCAGGAATTCCTTAAAATTCCTGGACTGTGGGGACATCATTTACTTTTCGGAAGTAAGATGGCTAAGTCAAGGCCAAATGTGGAAAAGATTTTATGATTTGCGACATGATTGATATCAAAAAACATTTCGTTTCTGGTATCAAAAAACAAATTTGTGCCAGAACTTGACAATGAAAACTGGCTTACAGATTTAGCATTTTTAGTGGCTTTAACTACTCATTTAAATGAGTTAAACATGCATCTTCAAGGTGAAAACCAGCTTATCAATACCATGTTTCAAACCATAACAGTGTTCCAAATGAAACTAAAATTATGGCAAGCTCAAATTAAAGCAAACAATTTTATGCATTTCAACACGTTGGCTAAACACAGTCTTGTGAACAGTGAAAAATATGCAGCCTTGTTTTTCGACTTGATAAAAGAATTTTACAACAGATTTAAAGATTTCCAAGAAAATAATATTTTGCTATATTTGAGATTCCATTTTCAGTTGACATAAATATGCTACCTGCCAATTTTCAAATGGAATGTATAGAGCTGAATCTGACATTCAGCTTAAAGAAAAATTTGATCATGTCTCTTTACTGGACTTTTGTAATCCTATCTTCCCAGAGACAAATATCTGTTCTTCACAATCATTCCTTATTAAATCATCGCTATTTGGCAGCACCTACATTTGTGAGCAACTATTTTCAACGGTGAAACACATTAGAGTAAAATTAGAACCAAAATGTCTGATGAGCACCTTGAGAACACACTGAGAATTACAAATACTTATATCAAACCAGATTTTGATGTACTAGTTTCTCAAATACAATGTCAAACATCCCACTAGGTTTATGTTGTCCTCTTTTCTTTTACTTTTATATTTATTTATTTATTTATTTATTTATTTTTAAATATGTTATTTATTTATTTTTAGACAGAGGGGAAGGGAGGGAGGGAAACATCAATGTGTGGTTACCTCTCGCATGCCCCCTGCTGGGGACCTGGCCTGCAACCCCGGCATGTGCCCTGACTGGCAATTGAACCAACGACCCTTTGGTTCGCAGGCCAGAGTTCAATCCACAGAGCCACACCAGCCAGGGCTCTTACTTTCATATTTAAAAAATATAAAATAATATCAATGACATATCATTACTTAGATCTGTACACTTCTTATAAGTGGTCAGAAACGTGGGACCTGCTCTATGATTTTAAAAGATTATTGAAAGGGCTGCTGCATCATTAGGGTTATTATGTGAGGACTTTTTGCTTATCTGTGGTGGCAGATGTCATGAAAATTATGCATGGACTCTTTTTTTTTTTTTTGCTTATCTGTTTTCGTGTTTGTATATTTAATGTATAGCCCATGGCAACTCTTTTTCTTCCAGTGTGGCCCAGAGACGACAAAAGATTGGACACCCCTGACCGAGAGAATGATTATAGATGGAGAGGGGATCTTCTGAGCCCTGGGGCAGACCAATGTCTACAGGTCAGGAAGAGGAAAGAATGTAAGAAAGGAGACCCAGCAGAGTCCTGTGAAATAGGAGAAAAATGGAGATGGTGGTTTCTTAGAAGCCAATTAAAGAACATGTTTTAAGGAGGGAATGACTAGTTGTTACAAATGCTCTTAGGGAAATAGTTTAGGGGCAGGAGCTGTGGGTACTGTGGTTGTACCCAGAATCCCACATGGAGCCTGTGAACTCAAGGTCGGGGAGAGGAGCAGCCAAAATATACAAATACACACAGACACTCAAGCCATGTGCATTCAGCTGCACTGGTATCTTTATCTGGGACTTGTTAGTCTAGGCTGCTATACACAGAAGAGTTCTGGGAACATGGAAGATAATTTTTGACAAGAACAGTTTTGGTAAACTTACACAGGGAATAGTGTGATTAAAATGAGCCCAAGAGTGAGGGAAGGAGAGACAGCAAGTACAAACAACACTTTCTAAGAGTTGTGCTAAGGAGGAGCACAGAGAAATGGAGCAGTTGGAAAATGATACACTCAAGAAGGGGTTTTAAGATGGGGGAAATTGCATCCTGCTAGTGACAACAATCTAGCAGAGAGGGAAGGGTTGTTGATGCTGGCAGGGAGGACTAGAGTGACATTCTTGAGTTGAGAGGATATGGCACTTGAAGCAAAGAGGAGAGGCTGACCTTTAGGAGCACAGTTTGTTCACAGCACAGTTTGTCTGCAGTACAGGAAAGCAGGCAGAGAGCTTGTGTGCACAGATAAAAGATTAATGGATACAGTGGTTGAGGGCTGAAGGAAGTTTTCCCAGTGACTTCTATTTTTTCAGTGAGAAAGGAACCAAGGCCATCAGCGTAGGGAGTACGGGGGTGGGGATGGCAGAGGTTTGAGGAAAGAGAGGGGCGTGTAAAGTGGCCATCCAGAAGAGTGGCTGAGTGAGTGGCTCATTTTTGTACAATGTCACCCACAGCATCTTCATTACTTCCACAAGTATGTTCTCAAGTCTGTCATGTCCCAGACACTTTGAAAAACACCAAATACTTCTTGAAAGAATGCGTGGCTGTACACTTCAAACACATCCCAAGTCTGTTTTAGATTTGGAGCTGAGTGCCGCTTGGGCAGCTTGGCAGAGTAGGAGCAGTGGTGATCCAGATTTGGAAGGAGCCAGAAGCCTTCTGTTTTTTAAAAAAATCCATTTGTTTGAGTTATCCTCCTGAAATGTAAATTTGATCATATCACGTATTTTAAAAAGATCTTAATGAAGATATATAAGAACTTGTGACACACTGCTTCTAGGGAAGAAAACAGGAACACGGGGGTACAGAGATGACTTACTTTTCAAGTCTATCTTTGTGTAGGGTTATATGAAAAAAAAAATTAACCACGTGCATGTATTCACCACTCAGTAGAAAAACAAAAACCCTCCTCAAATGCTTCTATAGTTTTCCACTGCCCTTAAGAGAAAAGAAAGCCTTAACTTGGTCTATGATACTCTGCATAGTATAGCCCTGCCCACCTCTCCAGCCTGATCTCATGACTCTCTCTTCCTTTGGTTCTCTCCAACGCAGTTACACAGGCCTTCCAATTCAGCTCTGCTAGGCTCTTCTGGGCCTCAGGGCCTTTACACAGGCTTTACTTCTGCCTCGTTCATTCTTAGTGATTTCTCCCTTCCCTTTCTTTTACCAGTAAACGTCAGGTCTCAGCTTTAAAGACACCCTTTTCAGGGAAGACTTGTCTGCCTGCATTCCCCAACCCCTACGAGACTTGGTCAGTCTCCCCGCTGGGCCCTCACTCCCCAACCATCAGGTACTTCAGCCGCAAGCACTTAAGAAAATCGTGAACTCTAATTAGCTGAATAGTCGCCCTAATCAGCACTGCATCGCTGAACCTAGGACAGGACCCCCTGGAGCCCAGCACAGCGCTTGGCACAGTAAGCACTCAGTGAGGGTTAGCTGGATGACACAGTATGTCTCTGGACCATTGTCCAACTAACGCAACCACTGTCGGGGTTGATGTAGAGGAAAGGGATCTAGATGAGGAAGGAACCTGCGCCCAGCCACCCTCTTGGGCTTCCTTCTTAGAGGCCCGAGCCCAGGAGGCACGCAGGAGGGATGGGGCTGGGGTTGACACAAGGAGCCTTGACTGTACTGCTCACAAGACAGGGAGGATCAGAGGCCCGGTGCGATGGATCTAGACTTCTCTGGAAGTCTCTTGGGGCATGGGTTATCGCCATGCGACGGGCTTGCTGGATGTGAACCCCAAAACCCCCTTAAGAGATGAAGCTTGCACCGCTGGCTATGACAAACGCTTCTTGGCAGAAATGCCAGAACCTGCCCAGTCTCGAGGAGCTACTTCTTCACAGTGTCAGGAGCAATAGGACTGTTCCAAGCAGCCCACCAAACAGGTGAGGAACAGCCCACCGGACGCCTGCGCATTCGCGGCCCTGCGTCGCGCGCATTCAGGCTCCGCCCTGGGGAGGGACCGCGAGCCCGCCCCGCCCCCTGCCTCTGCGTGCGCACAGCCTAGGGCCCGCCTCCGTGAAAGACTGCCCGGCGCATGCGGCCGGGCTGCATCACTGGCTGCTGGGGCCACTGTGTGCGTCTCCCTCCTAGCTCCTTAACCGACAGGAGGATCTGAAGCAGGCCTCAGGTAGGCTGACTCCAGAGATCCCGGGGGAGCTGTTCTCTGGTGCTGGAATCGGCGGCGCGGGCTGAGCCCAGCGCGGGACAGCCCTACCGCCGGGTGACAGACATCGCTCCCACCAATCAGGGGCAATGTAGGTAGCCGGTGTGCCCAATGAGTTCCGTGCCTAACGGGAGTGGGGCGGGTGGCCAGGCCGGCTAGGAGCCGGCTCCCGCGCGCGGGGCCGCGTGGCCGGGCGCCGCTGGGGACACGGGCCGCAGTGGGCGTGGGGCAGGAGGAAGGGCTGCGGGGCCCGGCAGCGGGAAACCGGGGATGGCTCGTGGGAGGGAGAGGGCCTTAGAGCGCTGGACCGCACAGCTCCTGTTCTGTGCGGACTGCCCCGGGGTACGTCCCTCCGGCCTCAAGGCACGGCCGTCACCTCGCTTGGAGGGGGTTCAGCATCCGAGACAGACTTGTCGCGGTGGGATTGGTTCCGCGGCCTGTCCTCGGCCCCCTATGGCGCTCCCCAACTCCTGTGGCGGAAGGGGCCTTGGAGCTTGCCGGGCCTAACAATCTCCCGTGCTGTCCTCTTCGGCCCCACAGCCGGCCACCACCTCGTGCTGTCCCCTTCGGCCCCACAGCCGGCCACCTCCCTTGTCGGCCGCCGGGGCGAAGATGTTGCATTTTAAAGTTAAGTTCACTACGTTTGCGCATTTTCGTCTACACATTATAATTTTGAATTCTCAGCAGTTCTGTGACCAAAGTGACGTGCAGGAAGACTCACCCCCGTTTTACAGATGTAAGGACTCAGGCAGCTCAAGTGACTTGACAGGTCTCAGTACCCAAGTGATGGAGCTGGAACTGGATTGCACAACATTTAACAAACAAACCAAAAAACAGCTTTTTTCCGTCTTTGTTGAATTTCTTTGCTGCATCTTGATTTTTGTTACTTGTGCGCTTGAAAGCCTTCCGATGTCTCCATCACCTTCAGAATAAAGTTCAAATTGGACATTCAGGTTTTCACATGATTGGGCCCCTTGCCTGCACCTACAGCTTCTTCCCCCCGTCAGTTGTCTTGGCCCTATCTCTGATAGCTTTCACCTTCCTGTTCACCCTGTTCTCTTCCCCATGCTTTAAGGTCCATTGCAAGCTTCAGGCCAGCAAACAAGAGCAGTCTGGGTCTGTCCTCTACCCTTGGATTTCTCTTATCTTCTAGATGGGTTGCAGTACTTTACCCTGCTGTTGCCACTGAAAGCTTTATGCTCTTCTTCCTATTTTATACCCTTCATGTGTTGTCCATGTGCTTTCACCATCACTGGATAACTCATTTCTTTGGAATGTTTTATCTCAAACTGGGCTGCCAGCAACTTGATGTATGGACCCAAATGTGATTAATTGTAGTCCCCCGAGTGCCTGGCACAGTAGCCCTTACATCGTACTTAGAGTAGCGGGCAGTCCATGAATGCGAGTGGAATGACGCCTGTTAGCCCCACCTGGTCTTTGAGTACATTGAATATTTATTGCCAGGCACTGTGGGAGACTGCAAGAATCACCTCTACAAGAGTGGTGTTACCCCTTTAGAGTAAAATTGGGGCAATTCAAATGTAAATTGATGAGACTTCTTAGTCTGTAACCCACTCAAAGTGGCTGAAGAATTTCTAGGAACATCCAAAATGTAGTAAGACCGGGCATAGTCTTTGGGATACACCTGGCTAGGACATACTTAAAATAGAACCAGGTCTGATATTCATGTGTCAATAAGGAATCATTCCACTCTAAGGCAATAGTCAGAGAAGTGTTTCTCCCCAAATGTTAGGAACTTGTGGTCAAACAAGTTTGGGAAAACTGCATAATGCGTACTCCTTTTTGGAGGGCACATTGAATGTTAACTTATTAAAAGCTCCCAGAGGTCGTGCATTAAAGAAACCAATTGACTGATTAACTTGCATGCCAGCATTTCTCCTATTTATCTCTCAACCCTTTTTGGGAACCTCGTATGCATTTTGTAGAAACCAAGAAGCATGCTTTTGGAAATGCTACAACAGAGGATAGAACAAGCAGGACATGGTCACGGTGCCCTCCTGTCAGGGGGAAGACATTTTAAGCATTTTATCTCCTTGCCAAGTGTGTTCATTCCTGCTTTGGAGAGGAGCTAGGTGAGGGGAATGCTTTAAGCCGAACTCCTGTTTCCTTCTTCCTTTCATAGCTTATTTTTGGCCTCACATGAAGTGTTCCCAGAGAAGAACCTGACCTTGCCAAAGCAAGCATTCTCTCCTTCTCCTTGGTGATTGTGTTTTTCATTTTGATCATATTTAGGTTTGTTGACCAAACGATGTTTTGGGGCCTCTGAAGCTGCGGGTCAGTGATCAATCCTCCCTGGTGAGCCTGTCGCTGTCTCCTCCACTTCTTGACACATGCTTTTGTTTTACTTCCCCTTTGCTTCAGCTGTTCTTGCACCTATCCATTGCTTTTTCTCTTATCGAGGCTCTTTCTCCCAGATACTGCCATAACTGTCTGGCTCTTTGGATTTAATCTGGCCCGCCCTCTTTTTGAGTCCTTTTGCCCATTATGCGCTTCCTTCTGGTTTATTACGTGCTGTCCCTTCCCACCAACGTGCAGCTCTTCAGGGCGTACCTGGGAGAGATTGCTGGCAAGGACTAAGCTATTATTAAACTACAGGAGAGCTGCCTTGAATGAAAAGATTTTTAGGTTTAACTGCAACTTCTTTTAAATGTTGAAGTTCTTTTATTCTGTCTTCTATAACCTAGAGGAGTGTTGTTTTTTTTTTTCTTGGTGCTACATTGTAGTTTAGCCAAAGACACTATTTTATGGGAAATCAGAGTGCTCATCCAAGGGTGAAATTGTTTTCCCCATGTAGGGAAAGTAATGAAGTACCTGCCTGGAGTTCCATTGTCTGCTGGTGAGATCAGCCAACATTTGGAGCATAGTGTTCTATCAGTAGCTTAAAGCTGTTTTTTTGTTCCTTTGTTTTTAGTTAGGTTGATTGTCAGTGTTGTTGTCAAAGCTTTAAAAAAAAAAAAAAGATAATGTTACTTGATTAGCAGTTGTTTTTCAACTCATATTTGAAACCATTCAGTAATCCAGGAACCCATGGAACACCTTTCCAAAGCATGGGACAGACAGGGAAACCAAGGCTCCAAGAGGGTTATAGCTAGTAAGTGGCAGAGACAGTATTTGAACCTAGATAAGTTGGATTTGTTGAGATATATTTAATCTATAATTTTTCCTTCTCACAGGTCAAAAAATAAAATGAAGTACATTCTCGTTACTGGTGGTGTTATATCAGGAATTGGAAAAGGAATCATTGCCAGCAGTGTGGGCACAATATTGAAGTCATGTGGTTTACATGTAACTTCAATTAAAATTGACCCGTACATTAACATTGACGCAGGAACATTCTCTCCTTATGAGCATGGTAAGGAAAGCGTATTTTCATTTCCTTTTAAAAAATAATTGTATAATATGTAAAAGAATATGTCAGTCCTTGGAAATTGTGTATATTTTGAATAATATAAGTTCCATTTCTTGCCTTCTCAAAAGGTCCTTAAGAGTAGCAGAATGATACTTTTCTCACGTGCACAGAGAGGAAGCAGAAATCTTTTCCTTTAAAAAAAAAATAGTTTATTTATTTTTTGAGAGACGGGGTAAGGGAGGACGGAAGAGGGGGAGAGAAACACCGATGTGTGAAAGAAACATTGATTGGTTGGCAGACTCTTTGCATGCATCCTAACCCAGAACTGGCAACCCAGGCATGGGCCCTGATGGGGAATCAGACTGGCAACCTTTTGCTTTGCAGGATGATGCTCAACTAACTGAGCCGTGCCAGTCAGGGCGAGGAAACAGAAAGCTTACTATGCAATCTAGTGATCAGAGTCTAGAAGTTTCTGTAACAAATGACAGTAATTACCTTTTTGGTGGCTGAGTGAAAATTCGTTACTTCAATTGAAAAAAGGTAATCTGGTGACATAATAACTTCCTCCAAATATTTGAGAAGAGAGATTATATTTATTCTTTGTGGCCCCAAGCTTTAGAAATACGATGCACGGAAGGAAGTTTAAGGAAATAGATTTTCTGTGATATAAGACGGATCTTTATAATAGCGAACACTCTCCAAGATGGAGGAAGCTGACTTTCAGAAGCTGTGAGTTCCTTTGATGGAGTTGTGTTCATTCAATTAGGCTAAAGAACCACTGCATAGGGATTTTGCCACAGGTAAATGCTGGAGTTGGGTGACATGTAAGCTAGAGATTCTGTTTTGCTAAATAACAGAGTTCAGATAATATAAATGAGCATTTTTTGAGGTGAGTGAAAAGTTGAAACTGTTAAAGGACGTTAGGAGAGTACGTATAATCTATGGATGTGTGACTGTCTGAACTACCTAAAAGATTATTTGTTTAAAATTGTGGGTAGATGTATTGTTAAAACATACTTTTTAAGTTTTTAAATTCTCTTTTCATATTCCTACTTCCTAATGGTGCGGTAAAAATCTTTAAGGATGAGTATCACCAAGGCAAAAATGTTAGTATAGTAAATAGCGACAGGAAAAGAGGGACATCCTGGAGCAAAACTGCATGCAGAACTCCTGAGCGGAGGATGAGTTCTCTGAGAGGGAAAATGAGACTTTTTTTTCCCCTTTCCTATTTTTGAGATTTTATCTTATTAATAGGATAGGAATGAACCATTCTGGGCAAAATGTCTAGACTGACGTTTCAAGGAATGAATGTTAAACAAAGGAATTGGAAAAACTTCGTAGTTTTACGACGTTGTTTAGGACTAAAGTGTAGCCCAGCAGATGGCTTTTAGAATCAACATGATCTTAATACATACATCTTGTTTAACTTACGAATTAAATCATGCTTTTATCACGCTTCAAACCTTGCTTTGCTCAAGTAGTAGACTTCGTTGAAAACAACAGATGCCATGTTGACTGTAAAGTCCCATATGTCCCTAGCCCTTTGGGCTCTAATTTTCTGCCATTCCATGCTGTTTCAGAACTCTTCCTGATTCAGACTGAGTTTGTTGACAAACTGGAAGTGTGAAGTTACCTTTTGGTGAATGGCTGGTGATTTTTCTTTTGTGTCCTATTTAGTTATCTAGAAATAAGTTGCTTTGATTTGTGTATAGGTAACGCACACTTTGTTCTAGTGGAGTTTTTTTGGGCGCATAAGTTGGGACATGGTCTGTGGATCTTCCACTTACCTTAAACGTTTTTACTGTTTACCCCAGGTGAGGTTTTTGTGCTGGATGACGGTGGGGAAGTAGACCTTGACCTGGGTAACTACGAGCGTTTCCTTGACATCCGCCTCACCAAGGACAATAACCTGACCACCGGGAAGATATACCAGTATGTTATTAACAAGGAACGCAAAGGCGATTACTTGGGAAAAACTGTCCAAGGTAATACTGGATTTGCCTTCAAAGTTTAAAAATCTTAACCAGTTGAATGTCTTTTGTGTACTGTTACTGAAATATGCCTTCAGTTGACTCAGAAAATAACTTGAAGAAGCCATCACTGCTCTGTGGATGGCATTGAAGCTGTCAGTCCAGTGGCATGATTCTAGTCCAGAAAAATGTTGTCCTTTTTTTTTTTTAAGATTTTATTTTTAGAGACGGAGGAAGGGAGGGAGAAAGAGAGAGAGAGAAACATTGATCAGTTGCCTCTTGCTCACCCCCTACTGGGGACCTGGCTTGCAACCCAGGCATGTGCCCCAGCTGGGAACTGAACCAGCAGCTTTTTGGTGCGGCAGGACGCCCAAACCACTGAGCCATACCAGTCAGGGCCGGAGAGCTGTTGTCTTTATACAGTGATGGGTGTGAAATGATGAAGGCAACTAGATTACGGCAGTAAGACTCTCTCTCTCTCTCTCTCTCTGTGTATGTGTGTGTGTGTATGTTTAGGAGCCTGTAAGACTGTGTGTGTGTGTTATGATGAAGGCAACTAGATTATGGCAGTAAGACTGTGTGTGTGTGTGTGTGTGTGTGTGTGTGTGTGTGTGTGTGTGTGTGTGTAGGAGCCTGTAAGATTCTGTGTGTGCGTGTGTGTGTTGGAGCCTATAAGAGTGTGTGTGTGTGTGTGTGTGTGTGTGTGTTTAGGAGCCTGAGAAGTGGGTCTGGGTCCTCCGAAGCTATTACCAGCCCAGCTTCACTTGTATCTGTTTGCTGCCTTGGGGTTTTGCACAACGTTCATTTGAGAAAAGTACTGGTTTTAAAAAGGTGGGGTTAGAAAACCCCATGTCTAGTGTAATTTCGGAGACTGCTGAAAAGTGGCCTTTATCTGAGTTGTGAGGAATAAATCTACCTTTGGCCTTAGGCTGTACCGGGCTGATAGCCAAAGGACCCACTGACAGTGAGCAGCCCTAGACTAAGATTCTAGGTTAATTGGGTCATGTTTACACCTTAGCTCTGCCACTTACCAGCTTTATGAACGTGGTGGATTACTTAACCTCTCTGAGGTCTGTTTTTTTTTTCTGCAAAATGAAGATAACAGTATCTACCTCTCTGGTATGTAAGGAGGATTAAAGGTGCTAAGTCAGTAGAGTGTTTCTCTTGAGTTGCTGACACACACAAAGGGATCAATGTGGAATTAATAATGATCTTGATTATGTAGTTTGTTGTTCTAGGCTCCCGTGTATTTATCCATTTATTCATTCATCCATCAAGTATGTTGTGAATGCTCACTGTGGTCAGACCGCCCTGGTGCTGGGAATACCTTGGTGAACAAGATCAAAAAGGCCATTGCCCTTGAGGAGGATACAGACACAGGGAATGAGATGACTGATAGGAGCTGTGGCGGGAGAGGAGTGAAGGGGGATGGAGAAAGTGGCAGGGAGCTGGTTCGGCAGGTGGTCAGGGAAGGCCTCCGAGGAGAGGAGGTGTGAGCCAGGAGGCCGCTGTGGGAGGAATGGGCGGGAGGAGCGCATGCATGGCATGTCCCGAGGCCCGAGACCACAGAGGGCTTGGTCGTGGAAATGGCGGGGAACAGTGACCCAGGATGGCGGTCAGAGAGGTAGGTGTCGGGGGTGCAGCCAAGTCACATGGGGCCAACTGGGCCACGGCCTGGAGTTTGGATTTTAGTCAGAACAGAAACTCGGGGAGCGGTGAACTCTAGTTTGCATTTTTAAAAGATCACTTTGGCTGATCTGTGTGGAGTAGATAATGAATATCCTTGTGCTTGAGGCACTGCTGGCTCTATACATAGCAAGTTAAACAGTAATCTCTGCCCCGTAGGAATTTGCCATCAGAGCCTGAAGGCTATGATTTTTGAACGAGTTTAGCAGTAGCTGGCATTTATTGAGCACTGACATGGTAGGCACTCTGCTTCGCATTTTACCAGTGTTGCCTCATATGCTTTCCACAGCCTGACAGAGTACAAGCTGTTACCTCCAGTTCAGGGGTAGGGAAATCGAACTAAAGGATAGTTGAGTAATTTGCCCAAAGATCCACCCCTAATGAGTGGCGGAACTGAGATGTGTTAGTATAATCCAGCCATTCCGAGCCCAGATGCTATGCCCCTAACCACTGTGCTGCACTGTCCTGTCTCTGCAATACATTGTCTCACCTTTGGGAATCTGGAAACATAATGTAACAGGGTCCTGGGTTACCTTGTTCCTGGAAAAGCACCCAGATGTGATGTGCCCACTGTCAGCTGTCAGCAGTAGGGGGCCGTGAGTCTGTTGCGTGGCTGTGCGGCCAGGGAAAACTTGCTCCGGGGCAAGAGCCCTGAGCGTTAGGACATCACTCTCAGCCCTACTCTCTTGGAGGGTTTCCAGCCACAACTTGGGCATCTGGAAAGGAGGCTCTGGGGAGTGTGAGCCCAAAGATTGAAGGCCATTTAAGAGTGGTCTCAGTATTATTGTGACCCTTTACCTCTCTGTGAAGGTAAAGAGTGCAGCCATTTGTTGTCCCCGTAAGTGTGTCTGTCTCATCGATGCTGATGCAAGAGTGAGTCACATACTTCTTTTCTCCTCCTCAGTTGTTCCTCACATCACAGATGCAATCCAGGAGTGGGTAATGAGACAGGCATTAATACCTGTGGACGAAGATGGCCTAGAACCTCAAGTGTGTGTTATCGAGGTGTGTATGAGCCTTTTCCATGATCCCTGGGTCAGTGACCAGTGTGCCTATCTACCCACTTAGTCAGCCATCGGCAGCTGATAAGATGAGTCCCAGCCAAGCCCTTGGCCCTTCTACTGTGATGTGGCGGGTGCGGGCACAGGAACAGCCATGTGGGTTGGGCTGAGCCATTCAAAGTGATACTTCGCGTAAGCGAGTCTCCTTTTTCAGCATTTATATGTGCACGTATTGGAGACTGTGACACACTTTTGCCTCTGAGTGAATGAGCCCCCTTTGGTTTCAGTTTCTCTACTCCTGCTTTGTAGATCCTGGCTTGTGGATCTCAGTGTTCCTGCGAAAACAGGAGACTTTTAAAGTTCCAGCAGTTTGTAACTAATGATTTTTAATACAAAAGTTATTTGTGGTTAGCTCAGTGGGTAAGACGTAGGTTTCTTTGCTTTGTGACTCTCCTACAAGGAAAATTTCCTAGTACATCTTTCACTTGATCTTTTTCTTGAAATAATGTGGAGAGATCCATGAACCGTGATAACCTTGGGGAATGGGAAGCCCATCAAAAAGGTAATCTTTTAGCACAGAAATGTCTAATTACTGTTAATTGACACTCTATGGGCCCCAAAGAGTGCATATTACACTGCTACTGATCATGGAATTGAGATGACAGTGTCTTTATTAGATAACTAAACCACAGCGGGAAGGTTTAGTGCGTAACCTCTAAAATAACTTTGCTCTTGTAGCTCGGTGGAACAGTGGGAGATATAGAAAGCATGCCCTTTATTGAGGCCTTCCGTCAGTTCCAGTTCAAAGTCAAAAGAGAGAACTTTTGTAATATTCACGTCAGTTTGGTTCCCCAGGTAAGTCATTCAAAACTTTTCCTTTGGGGAGATGGAGAGGAGGGAGAAAAGGATGATTTTCATTCCTTTTCTGTGTTAGATATTTGAACTGCAGGAAGCAGAAATTTTTTTTTTAAAATCAACTTTTTTATGAATTTTAAATGATTATAATCATATTTTTGAAAAGATCTGATGAGGCTCTGACTAGTGGGGCTCTGACTAGTGGGGCTCTGACTAGTGGGGCTCTGACCAGTGTGGCTCAGTGGGTTGAGTGTCATCTCTGCAAAATGAAAGGTCACCAGTTCAATTTTCAGTCAGGGCACATGCCCGGGTTGTGGGCCAGGTCGCCAGTTGGGAGCAGGTGAGAGGCAGCCGATCTATAGTTTGTCTCACACATCAATGTTTTTCTCCCTTTCTTTCTTCCCCCCTTCCTCTCTGAAAAAGATAAATATATAAAATCTTGGAGGTGGGGAAAGATCCAGTGGGAACCATTTGGAAAGTTAATCAGGGATGTTGCAGTTAAAGCTGGTGAATTGAACATGTTCATTTGTCTTTAACCACATGGTGAAGCCCCGTGACAACTATAGTAAAAGGAATTGTTTTATGGACAAAAACTCACAAAGATAAATACTGTGAGAGGAGTCAACTGCAACAAAAATTAGGAAAGCAGAAAGCAGATGGACGTGTACAAGCTGACTTAGTAGGCCTGGGAGAGCTGCATTCTAAGCCTGTATCTGGAAAAGTAGAGAAGTGACCCTGTTTGCCCTGCAGAACCTGCAGAGGCTCAGGAATGGGCAGCTGTTGGAACCTTTGAGAGTGAGGGTAAGGATGGAGCTCATAACCACTGTTACAGAAGCAGTTAGATGCTGATATCCCTTTCCCTAATGTACACAGTGGGGCAGTAGCCCCTCCCCCACCTTGGCAGAAGACTGGAGGGATTTTTTGTCCTTTGAAGAGGTATTCTGGATGAGCAGACACTAGGGACTGTTGAGGGCAGTAATACTGATTTAAAAACATGGCGTAATGTAACTTTATGCTCTTGAGACACCCTACCTTCTTCTGCCACTTGATTCCCCAGAATCATCACAGCCAAGCTTGGACCTTCCAGTTAGGAGACTGTAAGATTCTTCTTGGGGTATAAGACTAGCCTAGGAGAAACCACTGCCTTCAGAGGCTCCCCAGTGAAACAGGCCAGCAGATTCCCAGGGCAAGGGCCCTGGTGGACAAGTCCCACTTTTATAGAACCTCTAGTTAGCTTTTAAATGCAAGTTGCCAGCCAGTCCATCACCAGACATTTGGAGAAAATATCTAACATGCAAGAGACCAAAACAACAGGAAGAAAAGAAACTTACAGGAAATTGAGGCTCTGCAGGGAATAGGAAATTTAAAGAAAACAAAGCAATCTGTCATTAATAGCCTTGGAATTAAGAGGAGATAAACTGCATCCATTAAACAAAGCTGAATACCCTGAGAAGGGAACATTCAGAGAACAGAAAAGAATTGTTGGAAATTAGTAATTGGATAACAGAATTGAAAAATTTAAGAGAAAGAAGGTTGAGGAAATACCGTAGGAAGTAGAGCAGGAAAACAAGAGAGAGAGAATAGAGAAAAAACAAGGGAATGTGAGGGCTGGTCCAGGAGTTCTAACATCCACATCATAGAATTTCCCAAAAAATAACAAACAGGAAAGAAATCGAACAAGGGTCTCATAAATTATGTCCCACAGAGCAGTCAACCCAGCCCCTGCTTTGAAAATAAAATGGTATGGAAATGTAGCCACACCCTTATGTTTACATCCTGTCCATGCTGCTTCTGTGTTAAAATGAAAGAGTGGAGTAGTTGTGACAGAGTTTGTATGGCCAACAAAACCTAAAATATTTATTACCTGGCCCTTTATAGAAAAAAAAAATACTGACTCTAAACAATTCAAGGAAATTTCTAGGCATGAGTTTCTAGATTGAGAAGACCCAAGGAATGCCTATGTTACTGAATGAAAAATGAACCACACCAGGGCACATCCCTTTGAAATTTCAGGATAATGGGGCAGAAATTCTAAAAGGCTCTAAAGAGAAACATCAAGGCTCAGTATGGCATTTGACTTCTCATCAGCAATACTGGAAGCTAAAAGATAGTGAAGCTGTTTCCTTAAAAATTCTCGGGAAAATGATTTTTAACCTAAATTCTGTACCCAGCAAATGGATATGTTAAGTGTGAGAGGAGAATAAAGATAATTTAGTACAGAGAAAACTCAGCCTACCAACAAAACAAAGCAAACATTCGGGCCAGAAAGGAAAAGTATGGCACACGTTTAATGGTGGACATTGTTTAAATACTCAAAAGACTTGAACACTGAGTAGGGATCGTGGCATGAGGTGGGGGCTGCAGGCACAGCGTGGGTGCATGCAGACCATCTAACAGGGAAGTCATGAGAAAATGATTCAAACCAAATGTCAAGAAGTAGCAAGAAAGCATAGCAGAAGGATCAGTTAAAAAAACAAAAGAGTGCCTGTCTTTTGGGTTTGGTGTTTCTGGTCTTTGGGCAAACTTTGTAGAGCTATTTGACTCTAAAATATGCATGTGTAACTTTTACAAAAATAAAAACTAAATTAGAGAAATGACTAAATGATCTATTCCCCCATTTAAAAGGTGTTCAGGGAAAAGTCATACCTGAAAATTCCTATCACACAGATGTTGACTTTTTTTTCCTTTTGTAAAATAGCCAAGCTCAACGGGGGAACAGAAGACTAAACCTACCCAGAATAGCGTTCGGGAGCTCAGAGGCCTGGGGCTTTCCCCAGATCTGGTAAGATTTCCTGACTTCCTGGTTTCAGCCTGATCTTGAGTGTCTAGTTAAAATCTCTGCTCTGTGGCACACAAGCCCTTTGTTTTCTTGGCATGCTTTTAATTGATTGTGGAGAAGTAAGTCTGGTTCTCTGAACTGGGGCTGTAGTTTACAAAGATTTCCTTACCTGGCATGTGTGGGGTCATGTCTTATCTCTCTTCTCAGCAGTGATTCATTCTCTCTTCCCTTCTAACCAAGAACAATGATTGAGTAAACCCCTGTTGGCTCTTGAAGTTCTCAGTAATCTTTCTGTTTATTTGTACTGCCATTCTGTTACATTTTCCAATTTGGGATTTAGGAATTTCAGTTTTACAAACAGGTAATACTGTCATAATATACATGCATTGTGCTAAGAATTAGCTTAACAGTGTGATGTCTATTTTAATTTCAATCAGGAGAGAAACCCAGCTTTCTAATCCTTTTCTATTTAAACGTCTTGCTTTCTTTACTACCAGGTTGTATGCAGGTGCTCAAATCCTCTTGACACATCAGTGAAAGAGAAAATATCAATGTTCTGCCATGTTGAACCTGAACAAGTGAGTAGAAATTGCATCTTCATGCGAATTATTTTTTGTTTCTAATTATCCTAAAGTCTCTTAACTAGTTTCATAAGGCTTGTTGTTATTTCAGGATTTAAGACCATAGACTGTTTCCCAGAACTGGTCCCTGTTGGCTCTGTGACTCCATTACCTTGTGTCTTTGGTTCCCTGAGCAAACTTACGTCTCTTGACTCTTCTCTCCCCTCTTCTTTTACTATTTGCTGGAGCCATGCTCCCCCCTTTGCCTCACAGTCTTCCTATTCATTTTCCTTTTGGGGGACCCAGCTAGGACATCGTAGTATCTGAGCAGCTTTACCTGCCAAACCTCCTCACCCTTGAACCTCAGGTTGACCCCTCTCTGGGCACATAGGTACTGGGTGGTAAGCTCATTATACTACCCTTTTATGTGTGTCTGTGTGTTTCCCTTTATAGACTTTGAGCTTCTTGAGAGCAGGGATCACCTTATTAAACTTTATATTCCCAGTGCCTGGTGTGCTACCGGAGGGCCCCTGTGGTACAGGAAATTCAAAATTTTGGAACTGTAATACATCTCAGTGTGATGCATGATACAGAAATTCTAGGGGTGATAAGTTGAGATTGTGGCTTTGGTTGGGTTTGGCTGAAGGAGAGTTTTTATGGATTTGAAGGGTTTATGGCTAAGTTGTGGATGCTTTGTTTTGCTACGAGGTTATTTGATGATCAGGAGACTGAGCAGGGGAGCGCAGCTGGCTTAGAGAGGGGAGGATGAGACAGCAGGGTTACAGCACGAGAAATCCGCTCACGAGACTCCCAGGAAGATGGGAGTGAATAGTGGCTGGGCATTGCAGTGAAGAGAGCAAGAGGAAAGGCTTTCCCTGCCTCGGAGGCAGCTGTCAGCTCCACCTGGGTGATGGCTTTGGGGTGTGAGGGTAGCCTGGGGCCCGCATCCAGTGTTCCTGGGTGTGCTTTCTGCGCTGGGATTAAAGGAGTCATAACAAATACGAGGAACGTCAGAATAATTTCATTGTTATGAACAACCTTTTTACTATGTACTTCAATTATTATTATTATTATTATTATTATCATCATCATCATCATCATCATCATCATCACTAATTAGTTGTTTTGTTATTTGGGAAGCACTGATTTAGCTGGAAACCCAAACTGTTCCAGTTAGAGGGTGAAAGCAAGAGGTTTCTATGAGAAGGAAAAAAAAAAGAATAGTTACATGAATAGAAAGGAATTTCTTTTGGTGTTAATAAGTTCAAGAAGGAATTTCTGTAGGTGCAAATGAGCTAAGTTATTCTTTAGCTATGCATGGTGGTGCTGACTCTAAACAATGCCTTAAGTTTTCAGTTCCGTAGTCAGAATTTGTGTTTTCCTGTTAGCTTTGCAAACAATTGTTTGGAATGCAATGTTGGTTTGGCCCAGTCCAAAGGTTATTTGCCCTGTTTAAACATTGTAAAGGTATGAGAAGACACGTGAGGCAGTTCCTTTGGGATGGCAGCTATGCCTCCATTTTGAACTGGCTGTGTTTCTCAGCGTAAGAACGTCCAAACCTGTAGAAAATTTTTACGAGTTAGGCAGAGTTTATTTGAGTCAAAACAGAGGACACACCTAGAAGCAAGATCTCAACAGACAGAAAAATGCTTCCACACTGCAGTTATTTTAGGTATTTCTAATCCTAGCAAATGAAGGTAATTCAATTCTGTAAAGAATAGGTTGTCGTTAAAATTATTCACTTTAAAAATGTGACAAGTATTTCTACATTTAAATTTGAGCTTCAAATTTTATGCCTGTTTTTAATATCTGATTGAGTTATTGGAGTTCTTTATAAATCCTCAATGCCAGTCTTTTATCAGATAAGATTTGCACACTTTTCCTCCCAATCTGTGGCCTATCTTTTCATTTTCTTAGTGTTGTCCTTTGGAGCACAGAAGCTTTTGCATTTTGATGAATTCCAATGTATCCTTTCTTTTTCTTTATACATTATGCTTTTGGTATCATTTCTAAGCACTCTATTTAAACAAGGTCATAAAGATTGTCTTCTATGTTTTCTTACAGAACTTGTACAATTTTAGGTGTTACATTTAGATCTAGTATTCTTTGTGAGTTAACTTTTATATATAGTAACTTTACAGTAAAAGTTGAAAGTCATCTTCTTGCCTGTAGATACCCAGTTGTGTAGCTCCATTTGTTGACAGGATTATCCTTTAATAACTTATAATTTTCTTTATAGAGGTGCTTTTTAGATTTACTTATCTTTCAAAAGGTTTTAGATTTATTTATAGGTATTTATCATTTACTGTATGATGGCATATTTTTAAAAATTGTATTTCCTGATTAGATATGACTCATGTTCAGGACACCCTGCTGATCTCAAGCCAAGTTAACAGTACTAAAATTCTTTCCTGATTGTTTACCTGCAAATTCTCTTGTTTTTATGGATTAAACAATAATATTGTATGCAATTAGTGGTAATTGTTTATTTTTCAGTTCATATACATTATTTTTATCTAATTGTAATGGCTAATGACTAGTACGTCACTGAATAAAAATAGTGATAGTGGCCAGTTTTACCTTGTTCTAGACTTTTGCATTAATATTAAATAGCAACTAAATGATGTATACTGTGGGTGTTTAAAAATATTTTCCCTAAAACTCCTAATTTACCAATAATTTTTATTATGAATAAGTTTTGAATTTTTTATTAAACCTGCATCCACTGAGGCGTTTATTTCCTCTCCTTTAATCTGTTCATGTAGTGAGTTCTGCTGTTAAATTTCTTAATTTTGTGGTTCTCAAACTTTGCTTTAAAAGGTACCGATGCCTGCCTCCTACTCCCAGAGATAGTGCAGGGTAGCGCGATCTTAATGGATTTCTAAAAGCTCCTCCAAGTGATCCCAATGTATAACCAAATTTGAGAACCACTGTCCTGGGGACAGATCCTACTTAGACCTAAGAACGTATGATTTTTTTTTTTTAACCACATTTGTAGTTTGGTTTTTTTTTTTGTTTGTTTGTTTTGGATTTTTGTATCCATATTTATAAGAGAGTGACCACTATTTTTACTTTATTTTATTTTTTAAATTATGTTATTGATTATGCTATCACAGTTGTCCTAATTTTCTCCCATTGCCGCCCTCCACTCTAGCCACTGTTTTTAAATTCTTCCTGAATTACTTGATTTTGGTAATTTATATTTCTGGAAAGTTGCCCTTTTTTCTGTTTTCAGATTTAGAACAGTTATTTTCCCAAGGTCATATAGCTAGTAGGAGGCTGTCAGCCCAGTTAGTTTTTGTTTGTTTTTATTAAATAACCTTTTCTGCTTTTTAAACAGGTGATCTGTGTCCACGATGTCTCATCCATCTACCGAGTCCCCTTGTTATTAGAGGAGCAGGGGGTTGTGGATTATTTTCTTAGAAGACTGGACCTTCCTGTTGAGAGGCAGTCACGAAGAATGCTGATGAAGTGGAAGGAGATGGCTGACAGGTCTGCTGGGAGCCCTATAATTGGGTTTTTTTCGTAGGGGCTCAGGGACTTCAACTCTTCCTTGTGTTATCAACTCGTGTTAGAAAAAGCTATACATAAATGGTAAGGGATGTTAAGAAAGGCTCTTGGCCCTTATGTAGTTACATCATGGAGGAGGAAGTCCTGGTAGAGTTGGCCCAGGTCACAAGAGAGTTCGGATTGCACACCTCAGCCTTTGTCTCCTGTCAGCTGAAAATCAAAGCTCGCAGGCATCCTAGCAGCAGTGCGTCGGTGCGCATACTAAAGGCCCACACACATTGGCTGGCCATGGCTGGAACACTTTTGGGTAGCATCCCAAATGCCTGAGCTGCGTTTGGGAACATACCACGCACCCTGCGCCAGAAAAGAGTCAGCGAAATGACAGCCTTTCTGTGCTGCTGCTGCCAGAATGGATCACTCTGAGAACTGTCCCCACTCTCCTTTCCTCCTAAAGCTATGTGGTGCTCCACATCCCCTCGGATAGCTTCGTGCAGGGCCTCAGAGCACTCGATGTGCCTTTTTGTAGGTGCCCAATTAATAGGACAATATTATTAGGCATTTGGGGGAGGAGAAACCACTCATTTCATTGCTGTGGTATTTCCATTTTGACATTTTCCCCTTTCAGACTTTGTCCATTTATATGTTTATCTTCATGTAGCTACAAAAATGACACATGATTTTGGGATCTTTTTTCACAAAATATTATAAACATTTTTGCTCTGTTACTAACTTTATAATGGAAATTTTTAATGAATATGGACTGTTGTGTGTATGTGCTATAATAATATATTTGACTATTCCCTTCATCACATTAACTCTTCTGAATCATCTGTTAATTTTTTTGCCCTTTGGGATTTTAATTTTTTTGGTAAAATAATATGTGTGAGGCTTTTTAAAAAATATTTATTGGAGTGACATTGGTTAATAAAATTATATAGATTTCAGATGTACAGTTCTATAGTATGTCATCTGCATGTATTGTATTGTGTGTTCAGCACCCCTGTACACTTGAGATTTTGAAGCCGTCTCTTTGTAACAGCTTCTAAAATTCTATTTTGTTAACAAGTCTGCCACATTGATCTGAAAACTGTTTCCTCTTTACTGTTTGGAATATAGACCTCAGATAATAGCCACTCCTGTTAAATTCTTCCCAGACTTGTTTTTCTTCTATTTTTAAGGAGTTTTGATCTCATAGTTGTATGTACATTCTAAATAATTTGTTATTTCTTGACTTTTGATTGATAGATACGATCGCTTGCTAGAGACCTGCTCGATTGCCCTTGTGGGCAAGTACACCAAGTTCTCAGACTCATACGCTTCTGTCATTAAAGCTCTGGAACATTCCGCGCTGGCCATCAACCACAAGTTGGAAATCAAGGTAAGGATGGCGGCAGGCACAGCTGAGGCATGAACAGGGAGGCCATGAGCAGTCCTGTATGTGATGCGTATCTGCTTTATATTTTTGGAGCTCAGAGATTCTTTTTAGGAATAGAAAAGATTTATGGTGGGCTCCTGCCTTTGAGAGTACGGTAGAGCATTTTCAGGAAATAATGAAGGGGAGAAGTGGTCAGAGTAGAAGCTGAGGGACAGTGAATGCTTGGGTCTGAATATGAAGTGACCTGGTAAAATTGCCCCATATGGATGGGGGAGCCCTGGCCGGCCGGATGCACTCTGAACAGTTGCTGGTTCCATTTCCCCCCGTCTCTGAAGTGGGAATGCTAATATCCACCCCATAGAGCTGGGAGGTTTCTCAGAAATACGTATCCAGATGCCCAGTCAGTGCTGGGAACGCGGGCGGGACCCAGTAAATAGCAGTTACGAGTTCTGCTCTGGGACTGGTGGGCAGAGCTGGGCTGGGGCAGTGTCAGCACACGGTCCCTGCCTGCCTCCCTAAGGCGGCGGAGTGTCAAGGTTCGTGAGTTCAAGAGCCACATGGCCAGCGCTTAACGTCTGGCTTTGTTTTTTACAAGATATGTGACTCTGGGCAAGTTACTTAACCCTCTTTGTGTTTCAGTTTCCTTCCCTTTAAAAAGGGGTAGTGATAGTACCTTCCTTCTCGGGTCATTATAAGAATTAAATGCATTCATATGAAGCGCTGAGTGCTGTGCCCTCACGGGGAAGTATTGTCTGTGTTCGCTCTTCTGGAGAACCTTCCACCTGTGCCTTCCATACGTTTTCCCCAGTGTCGTAGCTCCCAGCTGCGGCTTTTCAGGAGGAGATTGCTCACTATGGTCACTGGGGTTTGCCCCCTGTTTCTTCATGTGTTTCTCAGTGTAATAATGTAGTTTGCTTTGTGTTGGTGAACAGGTTCCTGTAGAAAGACTTGTTACACATTTTTTAAGAATTACAGGACCTCATTACCTGCCCTGACTATTTTTTGCTAGTTCTTTGGATCATTAATTTGTTTTATCCACTTGGAGGTGGTCTGTGCCTATCGAGTGTTAGATGGTAGAGGTGAGAGGTGATGAGAAAGTCGTTGGGGTCTCTTAGGTGTGACAGGAGCTCACAGAAGACAGGTGGTCCAGCCTTGGTAGATGTGCGAGAAAGGTAGACTTCCCCCATGGAGGGACACCTGGGCGACTTTGGGAGATGGATGAGGCAGGAGGGAAAGGCATTCCGGCAGGAGGTCCAGCATATCCAAGGGCCTGGAGACAGGGAAGAGCTGGGAATTGGAGGATGTCTGGAGATAGGCGGTGAAGGCTGGTCACGAACCTCCTCAACTGGGCCATGCCTGGATCTTGCCTCAACATTCAGGGAAATCAGGGCAGGAAGAAATAGGCAGTCGAGCAATCTAATTAAAAAGTGGGTGAAAGATCCGAACAGAAACTTTCGTAAAAGATGCCCATGATATATGTGAAAAGATGCTCAATATCTTTTTATTTGTCAGAGAAATAAATGCAAATTAAATCACATGCGATACCGGCACATGCTGACCAGAGTGGGTAAGAGTGGCGGTGAGGATGTAGAAGTCACCCTTGGCTGGTGGCGATGTGAAATGGTACGGCCCCCCAGAAAGTAGTCTGGCAGTCTCCTGTCAGGTTAAATGTACCCTCACTGCATGACCCAGCACTTCCACTCCCGGATATTTACTCGAGAAAGGAAAATGTGTACACAAATATTTTTGTGTGAATGGACCAATTATTCGTAATAGCCAAAATCTGAAAACAACCCAAACGTCCAGAAGGAGTCAGCGAATGAACACGTTGTGGTATATTCCTACCGTGGACAACTGCTCAGCAATAAAAAAGAACATGCTACAGTATACACAGCAACGTGGACGAATCTCAAAAACATGCTGAACAAAAGAAGCCGGACAGAACAGGCCCTTTTACTGTATGGGGCCAGTTATGTGACGTTCTAGAAGATGCAAAACCTGTGGTGATGGAAAGCAGGCGGGAGGTGGTTTGCGGGCGACAAAGGGAACTTTTGGGGATGACAGTAACTTTTTATACTTGGATCAAGGTTTGGGGGGCCCACCTCTGAGTGAGTGATAAAACTCATACGAGTGGCCACAAAAGGGCCCCTGGTCTGTTTGAGGCCGCGAGTGTCTGCTTGAGGCCTGGGGCATATACTGTGCTTATGTTTTACTGTGTGTAGATTGAATTTGAATGAAGTTGAAAAAGATGAACAGCAATCTAGGTAGAGGATGAATGGGAAAATAGAACAGAGAGAACACTCTAGAATCCGTTCCAGCAGGTCCTAAACAGAGTACCAAGCGCATAGAGATGTGTTTGGGAGTTCAATGATTCTGAAGGAAATGCTTGTATTTTAAAGTAATAGAAGGGTTTTAGAGTTTACTTTAAGTGCTTACGAGGTTTAAATCTCTTAAGAGCATCATTTTAAAGCTATTTTAAAATTGAGAAAGTTGGGACATGGATAAGGTCATTTGTAAGATACGAAAGAACGTGGCCCTGGAGTCACGGGCCTGCCTTTCCCCGCCTGCCCGCTCCCAGTACATCGATTCCACGGACCTGGAGCCAAGCACCTTGCAGGAGGAGCCCGTGCGCTACCACGAAGCCTGGCAGAAGCTCTGCAGCGCCCAGTGAGTAGCTCTGCCTCTGCTTTTCAGGGACTTGGGTTTGTTTTCGTTTTTGTTTTAGATATTACTTGTTTTTAGAGAGAGGGGAAGGGAGGGAGAAAGAGAGAGAGAGAAACATCGATGTGGGAGAGAGACAGCAATCGATTGCCTCTCATACGTGCTTCGACGGAGGGCCCAACCCGCAACCCAGGCACATGCCCTGACCAGGGATTGAACCAGCAACCTTTCATGTTGTTTGACGACGCCCAGCCAACTGAGCCACTTTGGTCAGGGTGGCTTGGGGTTGTTTTAATGGACAAAGTGCTGCGCTTTCATGTGCTGGTGGTAAATCTACTTGTTTAACTATTTTTTAATTATTGAAAAGACTACATACTGGGTGATTTAAACTTCACCAAAATGCAGCTTCTCAGTGTAGTTGAATCTGAAAGGAACTTGTTCTGATTTTATTGATACTGTTTTCTGTATGCATCTATTAATGAGGCTTATTTAAAGATCTTCAGAAGATTTGATGAGTATTTGTCAGTAGAGTCTCGTGAGTAGTTTGTTTTCAGCAGCTGCTATTTATAATCATAAAACATGAGCAAGAATTTCTAGTTCACAAGAAGAACTGACTGTTGCTGCAACAGTGGCCGAGACCCTAGGTCGGAGGGGCCCCCTGAGCTGATGCGGAAGGGCCCCTTCCCACGCAGAGAGCCAAGAGGTTAAAGAAATTGGGTTTATGTTAATACAGATTAAAAATTAGGAAAGAAGCCCTGCCTGTGACAAATACTGTGGGGTAGCAGTATTCCACTTCTGTGCAGCATCTTTTTTTTCTTGTTGTGAGCACTTTGTAACGTCACTAAGAAAAGCCCGTGGTCGTGTGTTTCCTAAGTTCACGGTGTCCCCGTTCAGCTCACTGGCAGTCCTGAAATCGCAGGCAGTCCCGTGCAAAGCGGGGATTAACGTCGGCGCGTCGGGCACTGGGCAGTGGCTCCGTGGGTGGTTACTGGGAGCTGGCCTGGTGGAAAGGGGGCCGCCTTGTGTTGTGCTCTCTTGTACAGCGGAGTGCTGGTCCCAGGGGGATTTGGTGTCCGAGGGACAGAAGGAAAAATCCAAGCTATTGCCTGGGCCCGGAAGCAGAAGAAGCCCTTTTTGGGTAAGATGTGGGAAGGGACACAGGGAAGGTGCCAGCAGGAGCCTGTATGTGAAATGGGATTACCAAAACAAAATGCAGGCCTTTGGGGTTCTGTTTGGGAGAAATTCAAAACCTCCTTTAAAATGTGAAGTTTAAACTTTGAGTTGCATGTAGATGCAGTGTGAGTGTCAAAGCGTGAGATCCCAGGAAATCTTGTTCATTTACTGAACTTGGCTTTTGGGCAAGACATGAGAGACTGTTTTCCATCCTCACGTGAACCACCAGCTGACTGTACGGGAGCAAAGTGGTTTGGGGTGCTTCCTTGTGATGTGGAGTTAGTGATTTTCAGCTTGACCAGTTGTAAATGGAAACTTAATGAGGTGGGGTAGGAAACTTGACTTTTTGAGGAACTGAATAGAATATTGTTTTTTCCTAAAATTGGGTAACTTCCCAAACCTGGAGTCTTCACATGCACTTAGATCCAGATTTTGAAATCTGATACAGATAAAACAAAGCCAGCGTGCTTGTGTACAGCAGGGAGTTAGGAGAACTTGTCGTTGGAGTGCTGTGGGCCAGCAGGGCGTGCAGGCCCGGCGGGCTGGTGGGAAACGCGGCCACACGGCCTGATTCTCAGTGGGGTTTCACTTGTTTTTCTCTCCTACCTGCAAGGCGTGTGCTTAGGAATGCAGCTGGCGGTGGTTGAATTTTCGAGAAATGTGCTGGGATGGCAAGGTAAGTGTCTACTAGAAAACTTGTTAAATCTTGCTTCAGTGTTCAGGAGGGTGTGAAGCCTGGTGCCTTTTGGGTCAGTGGGAGCGTGGAGGAGGACGGGCCCGGTGGCTCAGCACCTCTCGGGGCGCGGTCATGGGAGCTCCACTGAGGAAAGGCACGGCTCTTCCAGGCAAAACCCCAGGAACGGAGGGGGAGCACAGCCGAGCCCGCTCTCTGACCCCGTATTTCCTGCTCTGGAGAGACTCACACTTTAGTTGCTGCGGTGACCACCCCTGACCTGGTGTCCGGAGAGAAAACTCTGGCCTGTGTGTGGCTGTGCAGTTACTATGAACTTGGGCTGTGGGGCTGTTCAGACCAGAGCAGAAATTCTGATTTTATCACTTGTTATGGGTAATTCTAGCAAGTTCCTTAGCCTTTCTGGGCCTCTGTACCTTGTAAAATGGGGTGATAATGGTGTCCATTTTACATGGTTGTAGAAAGTCAGTGAAATGATGCACTTGGATAGTCCCAGCACAGGGATGGCAAATAGGAAATAATCCTATTGGCTCTGTGCCTGGCTAACTGGATCACAGTGTCCAGACCATCCCCAAACTCGGTGGCTTCCAACATAGTAGTCTGTTTCTCAGTATTCTGTGGGGTGACGGGCGTTTTGTTCCATGTGACGTGTCTGAGGTCACCCTGCCCAGCATTCAGCTCTGCGCAACAGGGGCATTGCAAAGGTCCCTCCATGGCAGCTCATTAGTTACTAATTCCGCCCGAGCTGCCTCACAGCATGGAGGCCCACTGTGTGAGCACTTGGTAAGCTTGCCGATGTCCCGTGGCCAAGCCAAGAGTCGGTGGTGGGGGACGGGACAGCCACACCGTGTGAATACTGGGCTTGTGGTCCATCGGGGCCGCCACGGGAAGAGTCTGCCACGGCCCCCTAGTCCCTGTAGCCCAGCTGACAGTCTAGATTTTCAGAAAGACCTCATGAGTTAGTTCTAAGAAAAAGAACCAAAGCCACCTGAAGGAATGTACAAGTGGTCTGGCTTTGCAAAGTACGTGGGATTCTCCTGTGGCCCTGCTGCTCACAGCTGGGCTCGGTTCCCGTTTTCTCTGAGAGGTTGCCTCAGCGACGCCGTGGCGATGGTGCCCGCTCTTGGAGGCAGCGTGCCCTTAGGTGCTGGCTGCTGAGCAGGTGCTGTTTTACCCCCCACCACCTAGAGCTGGTCCTCTGGGCACCGTCGGCCTGTCACAGCCGTCACCTCCTGCCGCCACGCAGCTTTCCCAGGGATGAGTGGCCTGGTGATGATGAGCTCTCCTTCAGCTGAGGCCCGGCAGGGGGTGGTACCCAGCCCGTTCAGATAGAAAGACCAGACATGCAGTACCAGGGGCCGGTGCTTTTCCTTTCAGTCTTTAGTGGTGTTGCTTATGGTTACGTGACTAGTTCAGTAAAAGATAGAAAGGTTATTTACGTTTTCAGATCAACTAATTTCTGATTTAGCTATTGAGTGAAGCAGTTGAGTAGGGCAATGTGTAAGATGCTGAGGATGAAAGAAATAGTACTTGCTCATGTTGGAGAGAGATGGCCTGAAACAGCAACTGAAAAAGCTTGAGATTGCAGTTGGTTTCTACATCCCCATTTTGTACAGCTTTTACCGAGACCACAGACTACAGTAACAGACTACAGAGAGTTGCCGATTTAATGGAAAAAATGTGCTTGTGTGTGGTTTTTATATCTTTAAAATATTGTCTTGATTTTTTGTTCTAATCACTGAATGACTTTAAACAGGAGGGAAATTGTGATTGAGAGCTTATGAATGAAACTTTTAAATAATGAGGTTTGTTTGTAAATATTTTCATAACACAAATATTTGGATTTTTCAGATGCCAATTCCACAGAGTTCGACCCCAACACCAGTCATCCTGTGGTGAGTCCAGTGTTTGAATCTCCCCGGGGCTCACAGGTGTCGAGGGGTCGCTCACAAAAGTGGTCGATGGTGGTTAGAGGCAGGAAATGAGACCATGTGGGTGCATCCCAGGGGACCCTGGGGGCCTGCACTTTCACACCTGCTGGACAGGAAGGATTTTCTTTTTTGTTGTGTGATTTCTCACTGCTCTTCCCAGTTTGTTTTTACAGTAAGTTTTAAGGACTGGTGCCGCCCCATCCAACCAGGGGGAATCCTGATTAAAATAGTTCCCCATTCCAACTCCCCTGAGCTGCCAGGAGCACTTTGTAATAGTACTGATATGAAACGTTTACTGGAGCTTTTAGTGTGCTGGGTGGCGGTCGCTCCTTTAGACACAGGGATGGGTAAAAGTCGGTTTGCCATTGTTTGGAAAACTCTATAATACAAGAATAAATAAAACACAAAAATTGTTTTCTGTACTCACAACTGTAAGCCTACATTTGCCTACCCCTGTGTATTGATTCATTTAACCCCCACCATCTCTGGGAGATGGATGTATCATTAAAGAACTTCCGGAATACACTACCGATTTGTTTAATGGTAACCAAAGCCTTGGGAGATCCGCATACCTTGTGTTGTAGCTCCTACCAGAGGAATGTGGCTCATGGGCGCAGACGGTGCCCTATTTGTCTTTGAATCCCCGGCCCAGGGGGTGGGAAGCCTGTTCTCCACACTGAGGACACTGTTTTAAACACGATGGGCAAAGCTCTTGATCGCAAGGCTCTTCAGCATCATCAGTATGTGTCTGTTGACCTGAAATTGAACTCTGCTAATACTAAGACCTCAGGAGGAGAAGGACAAAGGCTTAGAACTGTGGTGGGGGTGGTGGGGGAGCAGGGCACAGAGGAAGTCAGACGCATGGGGCTGAGTGGGGGAAGGACTCTCTGGGCTGGGGGACCTCGCCGCTCCCTCCCGCAGACATTTGCTGAGCTCCCGTCAACACTCGGTGACCCTAGACGAGCATCCCTTTCCTCTGAGCCGCTCACGGGTCTGGCGGAGGGCACGTGTGTGATACCACGTCCCGTCTGGTGTGCATGTAGCAGTGTTGGTCTGTGTGGGGACTGTGCAGCCCAGCAGCACGTGTGAGCCCAGGTGCTGGGGGCAGGAACAGCTGCAGCTCATGAGGACAGGCCGGAGGATTCAGCCCCCTGCCTGGTGAAGGTTTAAAAATCCTCATTAGGAGGCATTTTCCCCTATGACAAATGTCTCCTACAAGGACAGGCTGGGGAATTGGAGCCTCCTCCCAGGCTCATCTCATTCAGTGCTGGGGGTCCGTCTCTAATGGAAGCAAAATGCTAGTACATGTTTGTATTTTCGACACCTCCAGGTCATAGACATGCCAGAACACAATCCTGGGCAGATGGGCGGGACCATGCGGCTGGGCAAGAGGAGAACCCTGTTCCAGACCAAGAACTCCGTCATGAGTAAGAGCTGCCCCGACTGGCCCAGTCGGGCTCGGCTCCCCCAGGACACGCGCGTCTTTGGGTGGTGCTGGACTCTGCTGTTTTTGGTTCTGCTCTTACTTGAGTTCTTTTCCCTGCCTAGTCATGCACTTTTAGGATGCACTGAAATAGGCAAAGCAGCAGTATGGGTCTTGGGCTGCAGGTAGTGCAGTCAGGGACCGGGGGGACCTTGGGTGTGGATGAGCCACCAGAATGAGGCAGTTAGGTGAAATCCATTGTAATCTGTTCCCTACCTAATCTATGAGATGGAACCATATGAAATTGCCAATGTTGGCAGTTTTTGTCCCACAAAAAAAATGGCAGCTTCATAAGGTTCAACTTAAATAGATTTAATTCTAAAATAGTATTTGCCAGTGCTAAAGATTTAGGGAAAAGGGGGGGCAGAAAATACTTAAGAAAATTAAGATTTAATTTTCTTGCCTACTGTGGAAATTCTGTCTATCCAGGGTGGGACAAAAGTAGGGTTACAGTTGTTCGTATGGAAACTAATACAGTAAGTATATAACAGTACAAGAATAACTGCTCCGTGTACTCGCAACTGTAACCCTGCTCTGCCCCGCCCTGTGTTAGCAGAGGCGGTTCCGTGTCTGTGTGGGGATGAGGAAGCAGTGTGGTTTGAGTCACTGGAATGATCTTTTAGTCCTTCCATCTCTAATGTTCTGTGCATTTGGGGATCTCACCTGGCAACCCCGAGTGAGTTTGTAAAACGGCCCACTTGCAAGTGCAGCTCTTAACTTGTCCATGGGCGGCCACTGCATCCTAAGGATCTCGACACCGATGACTTAACTGCCCGGTGCTGGTCCCAGTAGTCACCTGTGTGGCTCCTAAAACATCTCTTTCAGGGCTTCGGATGTTTGTTGCATCCTGATTTGTACTCCAAGGCAGTTTCCAGCAGAAAGCACTTTTTATCACGTGTTGTATCATGTGTACCATGTCAGTAATCACGTGTTGGGGGGCGGTGATGCACGCCTGTCTCTGTCGCAGTTTGTTTTGGTGTGGCTGGGAAGAGTCAAAGCCCAGGACTTGGTCTCGCTTGTGCTGATCCGAGCAGGTGGCCAGGGCGGGCAGGAGAATCACAGAACCAATCTACTAAGGCCTGGCCGTGTAATGATAAAACATGAAGGGGAAAGCAGAATGTGGCTGTGATTTTTTTTCTTTGTAAAATCAGAATTCTTTACATCAACTTGCTTTTCCTTTTTTTCTTTTTTGCCAGGGAAACTCTATGGAGATCCAGATTACTTGGAAGAGAGGCACCGCCACAGATTTGAGGTGAGGGATTGAGCTTCGTGACTTTTAAAATTGTGTTTGTTCTGTTACTTTGGAAACAAGAAGCTGAGAATTTATTCTTCATTCTTCAATAGGTGAATCCAGTCTTAAAAAAGTGTTTGGAGGAGCAAGGCTTGAAGTTCGTTGGCCAAGATGGTGGAGGAGAGAGAATGGAAATCGTGGAGTTGGAAGGTCATTACTTGGGCTGTTGTATTTAATGGAAAACTTAGTAGGGTTTTCTTGGCATGTGGGAAAATATAAAAATGTTAGTTGCTACTCTTGACCTAACAGGATTGGGAGCAGCACTGTGTTCTGAGGGGGCGGGTCTTGGTGAAGGAGGGGCCTGGAGCGCTGGGGCCCAGGGGCATCCCAGGGACGAACTTTACACTGTGGCCTTTGAGCAGCTGTTGCACCTCTGGCCTCAGTTGCTCATTCTCCGGAATGAGCGCGTGGACCCGGGATGTGAGCCGCGCGCGCCCCCTTTCTAATCTCTGGTGACCTGCATGACTCAGTGCCTTGGAAGTCCAGAGAGCCAGGGACGGGAACCTGGGGAGGCGGGCCCTTCGCCAGCAGTGTGACAGCCTGCAGGGAGGGGCCGTCAGATCTCCCATGCCTGTGGGTACTTTGACTCAGGCTCCCATCAAGAAGCTGTTTTCAGATAATTATAGTGTTTGTGGAATGTGAAACATTTAACAAGCTTTTTCTCCTCGTCGGCATTTGATGTGCAAACACATAATGAAGCGGTGTCTCTTGGCATTTCTGTTTCAGATCATCCCTTCTTTGTTGGGGTTCAGTACCACCCTGAGTTCCTGTCTAGGCCCATCAAGCCGTCCCCACCGTACTTCGGCCTCCTCCTGGCCTCCGTGGGGCGGCTCCAGCATTACCTCCAGAAAGGCTGCAGGCTCTCGCCCAGGTGCGGTCAGGCTTCTTCAGTCCCTCAGGCGGCCACGGATTCCCTACCGCGAGCTGTCGCCCCCGTGGTGATGCGCGGAGCCGCGGGCGCCGGGGGCCTGGCTGGGTGCTCCTTCTCACCCTGGCATGCAAGTGACCTCCCCTGGGACTTCCTCGGGCTGCTCCTGTGCCACCCGTGACCTTCTCCTGGCCCTGTGGTCGGGTCTCCCGCTCTGTGGCATCGGGGTTCCAGGATTACATTGATAAATAGAACCGTGCTGTCCAAGGGCGCCTGGTTTCGCCCAGGGTGTCGGCCACAGCCGGGGTAGTCCCACCCCCCTGCGCACCTTCATCCGGAACCGCTTAGTTCCTCTGAGTTGGTGGTGAGGGTGTCATGACTGAAGTATAATCCAAATGTCTGTCTTTTGTAACTAGAAGAAATTGTACAATTTTATGCTAAATATGTCATGTAGCAAAGAACCTTTCTGGTTTCTGCCGGGTGCAAACGCGTGTCCGTATGGTAACGGTGATTATAAAAACAGGGAAGTTAAGCAAGTTTTTGGTGGGAGATGATGAATAAACTGTATGAATTCTACAGGGACACATATAGTGACAGAAGTGGAAGCAGCTCCCCGGACTCAGAAATCACTGAATTGAAGTTTCCATCAATAAATCATGACTGAAGGTAACATATACATTTTTAACCTTTAGTTCAGTGTTTGTTTTTTTTAATAAACGGTGATAACACTAAAATTGTAAAAATATGAGTTTAGGGTTAAAATTTTTATCTGTCAGAGACGGAAAATGGTGAGGCGGGCATGGGCATCAAATGGGTGAGACCCCTCCAAGGACATGCCGTGACCCACCCGGCTCTGGGGGCGCCAGTCCTGGGCAGTCGTCTCCTTACCGGTTGACGCATTCAGGCGCCAGCCTCACCATATCTGGGAGAACTGGATTCCCAGCCCTTCGATGCCGCGTGTATCCATAAACACAGAGCTCTCGAAGGAGGTAACAGATGTGACAATCTGGTGTTTGTCGTTTTTGCAGAGCCTCATGCTTTCGTTAGGAAGTGCTTTAAAAGTGATACATGCAGCGCTTCAATGTTAATTGCTGCTTATTCTGAAAATCCCTTCAAATTCAAACAATTTTTGAACAAACTTTGGATGTTTGTTTCCATAGTGACCGGATATGTAAGTCTATAAAGTACAGTAGCTGAGCGCACTGCCATGAAGGGTGTGAAGTCCTGCTAAGATAACTGAGTGAGCTATGTCAGCAAAAGCAGTCTGCTGCTGAGGGTACCAGAGCGGGGTTGGGGTGTCAGTCAGTTATCTGTGCGGTCTGAAAGGAGAGCCAGGGATGTGGCCTGGTCTCTCATTTGGTAGGGGGCAGGGCCATCACAGGTAAGAGGAGCTCTTGCCCGGGGCATGGGCAGGTCGCCTCCCTGGCTCCTGCACACCTTGCATGCACCACCAGTGGCCTGTGCATTGCACAGGTCTGGTCGAATGGGCTCATGACTGGCCCCTCGGCCTTGGTTGATGAGCACCTGGCCGTGACAACAGGAATGAGGGGGGTGGGCGAGGGGGGTGGGTTTGTACCGGAGGAGGGTGGCGGTTGCTCACCCTCTGCTGCGTGGACTTGTCCGTGCTCTCCACCTGCGGGTGTGCGAGAGCCTGCCCGAGAGCCTGAGAAATTGCCACAAAAAGGAAACTTCAACAGTAAAGGGGTAGATACTTGGTCAATTATATAGAATTTCTTAATGCCTCACTAAATGGAGAATTCACTGTCCGTGGCCCTGTTGAGAGACTAGCTGCTGTGAAAAGAACTCTTCATTGGGGCAGATAGAGAGGCTCATGTAAGATCTTAAAAATGATTGATTTTATAGGAGTTACACATTTAGCTTGTAATTATTCATTTTAAGCTCTTATTACTGGTCTTGAAAGAAAAACAGACATAGTTTACCATAGCAGCTGATAAAAATTCTGACTTTCTACTTTAACATACATATCACAGAATTACTAATTTTGTTTTTTATTGTTTTTTATTTTTTGTTTTAAGCAGGGGTGATTCTTCAAGAGAGCCTTCAGACTTTGGGAGTTTACAGCTTTGATTTTACACTCAGCTTTTGACACCTCCTTTAAATTATGTTTTTATTAAGAATATTTTATTATGGGGGAAAGGTATTGGGAAGACTGTGACTCGCATGTCCCATCATGTGTATTGGCCCTTACACGGTGTGCTGCCTGGTGTTGACACTCTCCTTTTCGGCCCCCCAGCCTCAAACGAGAAGCGGGATGTCTGGGCAGGCGTGGGTGACAGACAGGGCTGGTGGGGTACCCGCCAGTCACCTCGTTTCTCCAGCGACCGCGGGTCTGTGGATTCAAGTGTGCAGCCTTTTGCTTCCAGGGAGGCCCAGCCCGCTACAAAGAGTACGCCAGGGCACGCAGCACGGAGGGTGACAGTATCTAATGCTCACAGCACTCGGTGCTGCCGACCTGAGGGCTTCCCGCCAAGGGCGGTGACGCCAGAAACAGCCTTGGCACTGCCCTGTGCCGCGGGGACTCTTCATGCCAACTGTGTTCAAAGCGATGGCCAGTTTGTGTCACATGGAACAGCAAGAAGTCCATGTGTCTGAAGCCCGATTTTAGAATCCCTGCTCTCTGGCTGTACTTCTCTCCTGGGGCTGGGAAACACTCCTTGCATCAAGGGGTCGCTTAAAAAAGAACAAAGAATTTTTGGGGGAAGCTGCCTCTAAAACCCTCTCACATATAGACAGCTTTGCTTGAAGCGTTTCTTCCTTCCAGGATGGTGTTACTGCAGTTGAAAGGCAATATGAAAATCTATTTTCTTCACAAGATGTAACAACAGGCACAGCTGTGTGCCCATTATATTCTGGCTGGACTTGTATACTCTTAACTTAAGAAATAAATAATGCAGAACAAGAGATGCGCACTTTGTGATTCTGTTTCTGTCACGGCCAATGGTGTCTAGTGTCAGACATGTCTGTGTGTGGTGGGTCACCTGAACTGTCATTCCCAGGCTTTCCTCCAGGTGAGCAGCCTCAAGCGGATGATCTGATAGTTTAAAACCTGTACACCAAAAATTGCGGTTTTGATTCCTGGTCAGGGTTCATACCTAGGTTGCAGGTTGGGTCCCAGTTGAGGCGCGTATGGGAGGCAGCCAGTCCATGTTTCTCACATCAATGTTTTTCTCCCTACCTCTCTCTCTCAAATCAATTTAAAAAACAAAACCGTATCCTTAGATTTAAAAAAAAAAAAAGACAAAAAAAAAAAAAAGGAACCAGAATTTCCTAAAAGACTTCAAATTTAGGTTCTCAGCATATAAAGATAGAGATTCAAAGAATCGTGGGTGCCCTGTGCCTGTTCAGTCTTGAGAAAGTGGGGACAAGACGCGTCATTCTGAAGGAGGCCGTCCTCTGCCGAGCAGGACCTGGGCCTCGCGCGGGGCCGGGGTGGAGCAGCAGGGCTGCTTCGTGCCCTACAGGTCCTGCTCCCCCAGCCTCAAGTCCGGGTCATGGTCCTGGGTGGTTTTTCCTTCAAAGTGAACCTAGCGATACTGAACGTGAGGCTGCTGAGCTCACCTCCTCACGAACTGTCTCCTCTGCAAAGGCTTGGGGCTCAGGCCAGGTTGCTTGTCAGCGGTCAACAGCATTCAGTCATTCTCGTCAGAAACGAGGGATTGCGGGGGGAGAGATTTTTCTCTCACTGCTGGGCTCCTCTGTAAGATCCAGAAAAGAAGTGGGTTCCCTTTAATGCTTTCACAGACTAGTCCAGGGTCACCCTCACTGCCGAAGCCCAGGAACTGCTGCTCCTTCCTCCTGACCCAAAACAGCCTAGCTGCCTTTGTCTCCGTTTCTCATGGCTGAAATAACGTGTCCTCACTCACTGTGGTCTTCATACTTGGCTGGTACAGTACTTTGAATGTGGCTGATCTGGTGAAAATTTATTTATTTTTAGCAATGGGAAGGGAGGGAAAGAGGGAGTGAAACATCAATGTGTGGTTGCCTCTCAAGCCCTACTGGGGACCTGGCTCACAATTCAGGCATGTGCCCTGACTGGGAATCGAGCCAGCGACCCCTTGATTTGCAGGTCGGCACTCAATCCACTGGGCCACACCAGCCAGGGCTAATGGGATGAATTAAAACCTCTTCCCTTGCCAGTGGTCACACCAGACAGTCATCAGTTATTTTTGTAAAAGCTATTCCCCCAGACTGAGGGGCTCTTGGCATACCCATTGGTGCCAGCTGCGCTCCCTGGGACAATGAGGACTTGAGTGGGTGTGGGGTGGTTTGCAAAAACTGCAATGGTTAGATGTCTGCCCCCTTGCCCCCACCTTGAAGAGTGCCTCAAGTGACCAGTTGATAGGTGCTGGCCACTTGAACAACTTTGTAGGAAAGGGACCACCGATGCCTTTCCAGTGCTGAGGAAGCCTGACCTACCCTGCCAACCTCCAGTGCAGGTGAGACTAACAGGAATGAGGGCCGAAGCCAAGACTGCACCAGAGGGTGGCCTTCCATGCCCAGTGTCCATTGACCAGTACCCGGAGGCTTTGGGGAAGGAAACCTGGCAAAGTTTCTCTGGTGTCCTTCAACCCATGTGACCCAGACCAGTTAGCAGTCTGGAGCAGCTGCAAGATGACTTCACCTGCCTTTGTAGAAATCAGCTATTTCCCAGTGAGCGCATCTCTGAGGATTGTGATGCCTTGACTAGCGTCTGGCATGGCAGCAGGGGGTAGAGGGGGGGTGGGGCCCTGGCTGGTTGCGGCTCAGTGGACTGAGTACCAGCCTGAGAACCAAAAGGTTACTGGTTCGATTCCCAGTCAGGGCACATGCCTGGGTTGTAGGCCAGGTCGTCAGTTGGGGGTGTGCAAGAGAAAACTGATCAGTGTTTCTTGATCTCACCCTTTCTTCCTTCCCCTCTCTACAAATACATAAATACAGTCTTTTAAAATAAAATAGGGTGGGCAGAAAATTTCTCTTCCTCTCCCCTGGAAGGTGGCAAAGATAGGAAATGGGAGCCAAGCAGCGCTCTGGGGGAGGAGCATTTCATCAGGGGAAGCAGCCAGTGCACAGGCCCTGAGACAAGGGCACTCAGAACAAGTTGGTCAGTGTTGCTGGAGTGCATGAGCAAGGAGCCAGAGGAGGAGTTGAGGGCAGATGAGTCGGTCATGCAGAGCTGTGCAGCTCATGGTTTTTGGGCTTTGTTCTCAATGTAATGGGGAGCCCAGGCCTGTCCTGGTGCAGATGCTGCCTTTATAGCGTCTCTGGCTCTGCTGGTGGAGATGGTGGTGGAGAAATGGCTGACCTGGACTCCTCCAGGGGCTGGAGGGTGTTCGGAATGGCAGTCAGACCCTTTTTGGGCATGTGCCGGTGTGTGCTAGAGAGACATAGTACAAGCCTGACAATGCACAAGTGCACTGTTAACTGCAAAGAGGTAGTACTTTGTCCCAAGGTACCCAGTCATTAAGGCAGAGCTGGACTGGAACCTGACCATCTGGGCTCCTTCCCCCTCGTATCTGGGTGGTAAGAACCCAGGGCTGGCTTGACTTCCTGGACGGAACTGAGTGTGGGACTCATGACCCCGCTGCATTCAACTGGCTGGCCAAGTGTCTTAGAAATAATCATTCCTGCCCCAGGTCCCTGTAATTTATTAAAGAGCTACGAGAATCACAATTTCCAGCATGCCAGGGGTGCGGGCTGCAAGGTGGCCTGTTTGCCCTGTAACCACAGTAACCAATGTGCCTTGTCATCTGCAGAGGGGAATTCCCAAGACAACAAATTCCTTTCTGGCCTTAGCCAACTGGAGTCAATAGACCCTGGCCTGGGCAACATGAGCATCGTAGGGATAGCGACAGTCCCTTCTAGCTCTAGCCCTAGTATAGCTCTGGCCAAGTTCTTACGGGTTCTTTCTGAAGGCAAGTTTTCTTGGAGATCATGTTAAGAGCAATTTCTTAGCTACACAGTCTGGGGTCTGCTCAGGATTGAAGCCACGTGGGGACCAGCCTGTGTGTGTGCAATGTTGCTGAAGGAGCAAGGAAGTCTGGGGCTCCCAGCGCCCTCTGAGCAACCAGATGGGTTTATTGGGAGGACCTTGGCTCAAATAGGAAATCCCAGCATCTCCCAGGGAGTGCACCAGCTTCCTCCCTGCCCTCGCTTGCCTGTGGGGCCTCACAGGACGCAGCAGGTGCAGGAGATGGGCTTGTGCTGCTGCTGCAGCCGCTGCTGGAGCTGCTCCTTCTCCACCGTCAACACCTTCACCCTCTCCTCCAGCTTGCTGAGCTCCGCGGCCCACTTCTGGGGGACATCATAGAAACAGATGTCTACGTCAGTGATTTTCAACCTTTTTCCTCTCATGGCAGGCATAAACTAATTACTAAAATTCTGTGGCGCACACACAATATATTTTGCCGGTCTGGCAAAAAGGTAGGTATAACTTTGATTTATTCACACCAGACGGCTATTGCTGTGCTGGCTGTTGTAATTTCTTTTATTTGACCATCTTAAGGGAAAAGCAGTCAGTGTCGCTGACTAAATAGTCAGGTATTGCACGTTTTAAAAATTCTTGGGGCATACCCTTTGAAAATTGCTGGTTTAAGCTGACTTCCTCTCAGGTCCTCACAGCCTCCTCCTGGGATTGAACTGATGGAGAAAGGCAAGGCTCAGAGAGCCTGGGGGGCCTGCTCAAGGCCACTGGGCAGGGGATTTGCATGGCTAGGTCCTCTGGCCATGCAACGACCCCTGACGGAGTCAGCCCTGGGGGCTCAAGGGAAGCTGAGCATCCCTTGCCCTGGGATGACCCATCCTCTGCAGCGTCCTTGAGGACCAGAGGCAGGCTCGGGTGGGCAGCCCCACCGGCCCCTCCACCGCCCATGTACCCTTCTCCCTCCATTAGCCCCTTGCCCTCCTCTGCTTTTCTGCTACCTCATGTTTCTCTCTTAAAAAGGCTTTCCTTTGGGACTGTGTCTAGCACTTACTGCCCCCATCTTGAGGGACTCCCCCAAAATGTAATACATAGTCCTTGGGGTTATCTTAAGACTTCTCAATATTCTACCTGATGGCTCCCCCAGCCACACAAGAGTGGAATACAGGAGGTAGTAGTGTTATTCCAATTCAGCGCCTCCGGCACACTCACAGGGCAGCGGGGCGCCCAGGGAAACATGAAGGCTGGCCCAGGGCTGCTCAGTGAGTGGTGAAGGGGTCCAGGGCCAGCTTGGCGCCCCCATCCCACCCGTCCAGTCTCAGCCACTTACCTGTCTGCACCACTCCTGGATGTCACGGACGGCCAGGGGGCCCTGGATGCTCCCCTCGCGCCGCAGGAACACCTCTCCCTGATCTGTCTCATAGAGCTGCGGCTCTGCCTGGGCCTTGGGGGCATGCACGCTCAGGCGGATCACCTGGGTAAGGGCGGCAGCAGCTCTGGGACGCTGCACTGGACAGTGTGCAGCCAAACCCCGCCCTGCTTGCTGCTGGCTCGTGGGCTCCTGGGGGCGGCCTGGTGGGGCTGGGGCAGGGCTGTTTCAAGTCTCTTTTCTAGTCACCCATTTCCTGGACTCCTCTTTGTTACCACCCCATGCCCAGCACTGCTCAGCAGAGTAGATGTGGGCCACCACATGTAGAGCGATGACATGACAGATGACAAAACAGCCCCAGAGACCTTCCCGTCCTGCAGCGCACCTTGAGCGGCATGCTGCTGACATTGGTGCTGACCACGGGGATGAAGGTGAGCACGTAGGCGTTGGGGAAGACCTGGGGCCTGAAGCCCTGCAGGATGGAGTCCACCAGCAGGCGCACGCGGTCTTCTTCACGGTGGCTGCAGTGGACACCCTGCACCAGCCCGCTGTCATCGACGCCCACCAGCAGGCTGCCGCCCTCACTGTTGAGGAAGGCACACACGTAGCGCCGCAGGTGGTGCTTGAAGGTCAGGTTCAGGTACTCGCCACCGCCCCTCTTGAACTCCATGTTGCGCGTCTCACTGCCTAGGAAGGCGCCCTGGAAAAGCCGCTCCTGGCCCTGGATCTCCCGGTGCACGATGGCGCTGTCCGAGCGCGTGCCCCTGGGTCGGTGCCGGAAGCCAGGCCGCACAGGGGCCTGGGCAGGGGGAGCATCGGTGTGCCTGGCCAGTGGGAGGCCTGAGCCTGGGCTTCGCCTGGGGCCAGGGCTGGGGCCTGGGCTTGGGCCTGGGCTTGGGCCTGGGCTTGGGCCAGGGCTGGGGCTGCTGTCTTCCTCCTGCTGGGGTGGGGCAAGAGTTAGGAACCCAGACCAGGGCAGCAAGAGGGATAGGCCCCCAGAACCCCCACCTCCATCCACCGCCCCGGGGCTCAGCCCACTCAGGAATCCCCATGTCCCCTCCCAGGCGGAGAGGCTTCGTTCTGCTCAAGGTCATGCAGCCAGTGAGAGAAACCCTGCTGGATCAAGGGCTCTAACTGGCCACTGTTCCTTCCCAGCTGGGTTGCCCTCCTCCCAGGTGGACTGTGAAATGCAAGTCGGGTAAGAAGAGCTCTCCTTTCCGGGGCTGAAGCTGAGACACCTGTGGGTCAGTCTCTTCCCATGTGGGTTGTGGATAGACCTCTGAGGCCCAGGACTGGATCACCAGGAGATACCTCAGTGCCCTGAGGTCTCATGTGACAGCTTCAGGTCTCTGAACTGCAGGGGCTCCCAGAGCCCCCACCCCCTTCCTGATCCCCCTGAAACCTTTGCTGGTCACTTTCTGGACCGTTGGCCAGTCCTCCTGTATTTCAACTTTCCTCAGGCCTTCCCCAGCCCCTTCCATGGTTTCTGTTCTGTTCTGGCCACTTCCCCGGCCTGGGCTTCAATGGTCAGCCCCTCACTGGACTTCCTGCCTCCAGGCTCTCCCGGTCGCGTCACTGACCCCAGGTGCGAGTCAGGCTGTCCTCCCCGCTTCCTGGGTTCTCCGCTGCCGTTTAGGCTCTGGAGGGGGCTTTCCAGGGCTGGGAGCTCAGTGTGGGCTGGGGCATGGTGATGGGGGGCCCATTCCTATCAGCCCTACAGTGCCCAGGATGGACAGATTTAATAAAAAATGTGATTCTCTGTTACACAAACATAACATCAGACTTACTAGTCTTGAAATGGAGGCCACAGAGCTGTTCTGCAGCAATCTAAACACTATTGTGTTTCCACCCCAAAAAATAAACCAGTATCACCTGTCTTGTGGAGTAACTTGCACAGCCTCAGTCAGGTGACTGTTCCCTCGTGTTCCCACAGAAGCCAGCCTCTCAGCCCCACTCTGTCTTGGTCTCACCACTCTTGATGGCTGGCCCCTGTCCTCTTTCTTTCTTTGCTCCTCTGTAGCCTTCAGCCTGAGCTTTGAGGACACCAAATAGCCCACCCTTCTGCATGTGCTACATCCTGCTCACCACCCTGTTCCTTTGTACATGCCATGTCCCTCTGCCTGGAATGCCCGTCCCACTCCCAGCCTGGCTAGTTTCCCCCCAGAGAGCCATGGGGACCCTCCCACAGCTCCAGGAAGCTGCCTTGCAGCTTGGTCACTGGCTGCATCTGGCTTTGCTGAGAGGCAGAGGGCTCCCAGAGGGTAGGGTTGAACCTTTGCAGCCCAGCCCTGAGTGGCGGTTGGTGCTTGTCAACTGAATGACGAGAAAATCAGGACCCCTGTGTGATCCAAGCCTTGGGCTGGCTCAGACCCAGAAGCTGGGGAGCAGAGGGCCCAGGAGGAGTCCCAGCACTGGCCTCCACATGCTTCTAGGCTGGAGGCAAACTATAAGGGTCGTTGTATTGTCCCCTGGGAGTGAGCTGGCAGTGCCACCTTCAGGCCAGTGATTTGGGTAGCAGCCCCCAAGCTTGCAGATTTGCCTTCAGTTTCTCAGAGACACCCCTCCACACCTACTCAGTGAGGCCGTCCCAACCCATACGCCTCGGTGACGCTCTGGGGCTTGCAGGCCTGGCAGCTCCAGGAAAGCCCCACTTACCTCTCTGTGGTCTGTGGGCCTGGGGCCCTCTCCCATTACCAGCTCCTTCCCGCGGGCCACCAGCTCCCTGACAATCTGGTGCCCATCCAAGGCTCTTTGCAGGCGCCGGGGGAGGGAGGCCAGGGTGTCTGCGTGGGTGGTCACTTGCACCAGGGCGTAGGCCTTCCGTGGCCGCCTCACCACCTCGATGTGCTCCCGGGCCACCGGCACCCCCAGCCGCTCCAGGGTGTCTCGGAGCAGGCAGGCGAGCACCGGCACCGAGAGCTGGGGGTTCAGGTGGCCCACGTAGAGAGTACGTGTGCCGGGAGCCCCCTCTGGGCCTGAGTCCTCGGGCAGGGACTCCTCTGTGGGGAGCTCCTGCAGGGGCTGCTCGCCTGGGGGCTCCATGAGGGGCTCCTGCACCTGCTTGTGCAGATCTCCTCCTGGGGGTCTCTGGAGGGGTCTCCCTCAGAAAGGCTTCCAGGATTCCTTACCGCTGGCTGCTGTCTCCAGGGCCCTGGGCTGTGAGCTTGGCCCAGGGCCTCCCCTGGAACTCAAGGGGTGCTAAGCAAGGAGGTTCGCAGGTGGGCAGGGCTGGGAAGGGCCAGAGGGAAGGAGGGCAGAGGGCTAGCAGCAAGGGGCCTGCCACCCACCACAGGCCTGGGACAGGACAGACGAGAGTTGGACAGGGCTGAGCCAGAGAATGGAGCTTGTGAGCCTGCCCCTCCATTCCACAGAAGGGAAGACTGGGGGGCATGTCCAGAAAGGGACAGAGGGGACCGGGACTCAGGTCTCTGAGGGCTCCCCAGATCCTTTCATTGGCCCAGGGGTCCTGTCTTCCCTTCCTAGTCCACAGGCTGGGGCTGTGGGTTTCCTGCCCACTAGAGATTACTGCTGCCTCCAGGCACCAGAAAAGCCTGTTCAAGGGCTCTGGAGGAAGCTTTCCTTCCCGAGGGCTTTGTGGCCTGCCTGAGGCCCCACTACTGCTTCTACTTGCCTCATCTGAGTCGGGGATGAGCCCAGAAGAGCCTCTGAAACAGTCAGGGCTGGCTCAGAGGCTTTTAGAACAGATTTTTACACTTTGGGCACACTGATGAAAGCTATGGCTTCTCCCCAGAAAAGTGAGCTTTGCGTATATAATTTTAGGAGGCTTCTGGACCCTTCTTAAGAACTAGTCTAGACTGAGTCCTCCGTTTTTGGTTCAGAGAGCAGAAGTGAGGAGGGGCAGAATGGGGCGGGGCGGGGGTGCAGAGCTGGGCCCTCGCGTAGCTGCATCCCGTCTCCTGGCAAGCCCGGGACCTCTGCTCCTGAGCTGTGCATGCACCACGCCAGCCCCTGCACTTACCCCGACACACCCAGCCTCTGGCCTGTGTGGTGGGGTCCGCCAGCCTGCATCTTTTTGAATTGGATCTTTGAGGTAGTCAGGGCCTGGGGGCCCCCTCGGCTGGGGTGGGGGCATTCAGGGCCAACAGGGATAGGAGGAAAAAGAAGGTCTATAGCCCTCATGTCCTGACTTCCTGGGGGGCCAGCCCTGAGCTCCCACAGCCCCTGACCCCTGGTCAGCAGCTCCCAAGGGCACTTGGGGGCTTGGCATGGGATGGCAGTAAGAACCAGGGCCTAGGAAGTGGGCGGGGCCTTGCAACTCTCTTTGTGATCTCATCAGCATCACCAATGCCTTCTGGGCCAGCCTCAGGCACTCGGGCAGGCCAAGGTGGGAAGTCACTCAGCGGGATGCTTCCCTCCAATTCCCACCCTGCTGGAAACAGAGAGCTGTACACGGGTACATGCCAGCTTGGCTCTGGGGCTCTCTCTGGGCCGCTCCCAGAATACAGGGGCTGAAGATGTGCTTCCTCCCCCATGTAGTGTCTCTCTAGGGCCTTGTGCCCATGCAGGTCCCCTGGTGCCCTCTCCCAGTTTCAGTCACCCATCCCAGGCTCCATCCCGCAGACAGGCCCAGCTACTTCCAGGAAGGATCAATGCAGAGTTGGTTCCAGGCCTCCCTCCGACAGCAGGCCCTTCTCTATGCCAGAGACAGAGGCCGCTGTCCAGAAGGGCCCTGCAAACTAGATGAAGGCCCCCTTTGGGAGTACCCTGAAGGACCAGGCCCCAACGTCCGTGAGTCTGTGAGAAGCCTGGGCCTGCTCTGGTCGGGCAGCCCTGACCCTCAGCTTCGCAGTTAGAGCCTCACAGCGGCCAAGCGAAGGGGCATTCTGTGTTATCGGGGTGTCAGAACTAGTCAGGGGCGAGAGCAGCCGGGGCCCTCTGAGGCCTCCTTATCCAGACCCCTCAGAGCCAGACGGACTCAAAGAAAGGAAACAACTGACCCAAAGTGCCGTGGCAAACAGCTTGCCTGGCTGGGACCTCAGCCTTGGCCCTGAAGTTAGGTTGCTTGGTCTCAAATGCTGACTTTACCACTTCCTGGCTATGTGATCTGAACTGCTTTTCCCACCTATAAAATGGGTTTGTTGTGAAGATTAAATGAGACCATTCTAATTCACGTAGAGCAGTTTGTGGGGTGTGTGGTGAAAGAAACGTGTTACGCTCAGGTGATGCTGCACTGCGCTGCTGCCCCACACCCCAGGGGAAACAGGCAGGTGTGGTGCTGCCTTTAAGCACCTGGTGGGGCTTGTCTACTTCTCTCCTTGCCCCCAAGGGTGTGGATAAACCCAGTCCCTGAGGCTCCTTGGAGCCGCTCACCCTAACACTGTCCTTCCTGCTTGGGTACCGTTAGCTGCTGTGCTTGCCTCCGCTTGCTGTACCTGAGCGAAGCCCTTTGTCTTCCTGCGGCGCTGTACAATGCTGTGGCCCCAGGGGACATCTGGAATTAGAAGAACTCTTAGGGATCATCTTGTCCAAGCTCCTCATTTTACATGTGAGGAAACTGCCTGCCCACTGGAAAACAGTGATTTGGCTGTTAACTGATTAAAAAGACACTGGCATGTATATATTTTTTTTTATTTATAAACAAATCGACATAAAATAAGTCCAGATAGCAGCAGGGCAGCAGCGCTGCTGATCTGTTTAGGAAGGAAGCATGTGGACAGTGACGTGGGTGCAGCCAGGCTCCAGCCTGGAGACCCTTTCCTCCCACCCGCTTCAGGGCCCTCTTGGCCTGAAATCACGGGCGCAACCTTCTCCGGCGGCAGTGCGGGCCGCGGCAGGCAGTCGTCCCGGGGACCGTGTCGGGTAGGGCACTCCCACTCCTGCAGACGAGGCTGGGGCTGCAAAGGGCCCAGTCGGCGGGGGAGAGGGCAAGGCCAGAGGGACCCTCTCCTCCCCACGCTGAGGGATGTGGTCAAGGCTTTATAGGTCAGCCCATCCATCCCAAAGAGAAAGCACCCGGGGGCAATGTCCTCTGTGAAGGGGCCACACCTCTCTGGGACCAGGGCAGGGCAGTCTCTTTCCTCCTGAACACCCCACCCCTCCGCCCATGTTTGGAGTGAGAGGGGTAGGAACTGAAGGGCTTGCCCAAGTGCCAGAAGCAATAAATAAGCAGTAAGAAAAGATCTTTATAAAAAAAGGTAGAGGTCTGCACCATGAGTTTAAAGTCTGGGGATCTTGCAAGGAGAGGGCAGGAACTGTAGGGCAAAGGGTGCCACAGCAGGCCCAGCAGGTGGTAAGGGAACTGGGCACGACTGTCAATTCAGGGCCCCATCTTCCAAAGCCCAGGGGTCGGCCCCTTCTGCCATCACATGGTAGGTGCTCAGTCTGAACTTCCGGTGAGGCCGGCCAGGCTTGGGAGATAAATAGAGGGCCTCAGAGCAGAGGCAGGGCTGAGGGAGAGCAGTGCCACCCCTGGGCCCACACGCCCCCTCCTCCGTCCTTCATGGAAGGACGTGTCATGGCAGGAGAGCAGCAGTGGGGGCTCTGCACAGCCTCCTGCAGTCCCGAGGCGGCCCCAAACCCCTCTGAGGCACCGGGAGTGGGCTGCGGGTCCTGCTTGCTGGGAGAAGAATGCCGGCCCCATCTGCTCCACGCCTCCGTCGTCTGGGCCGTGTCTTCCTGTTCAGAACTTGCCCTGCTTCAGCCGGTCAATGTGGTAGCAGAGCTTGAGCGCCGGCCCCAGCTTCAGGCCCATGTACTTCATCATCATGTCACTGCGCAGCAGTAGCAGCGCCTTGCCATCGATCTCCTGTGGGCCGGAGGGGGTGGGTTAGGAGGAGGTGCCATCAGAGGCCTGGTTGGTCTGCCCGCCCCAGGGAAGCACCAGCCACAGGGAGTCCAGTGAACCTGCTGTGACAGCCTACCTGGTCTCACACCTTCTGTCTCCAGCCATCCCTCCCTGCAAAACTCTACTGCTGAGCCCACCCAGCTAAGCCGTTCACAGGTTTGCACCAACTTCCTTCCTCTGTGCTACCCTCCCAAACCTCTGAGATCCAGCTCAGTTCCATCTCATCCAGGAAGCCTCCCGAGTCAGTGTGCTGGTGACTTCTCACAGCCTGTTTTTATACTGATAGACCCTCAACTGTTACTCTGTGAGTTCTCCTCCTTCCTGAGCAGCAGGGGCCCTCTGTGTGAGCCACACACAAGGCAGGCCTTGCGGAGCAGCCCCGAGACCTTCAGGCCTGAGCTGGGAGCGCTCTCCAAACCCACCTGGCATAAATGGTTTAAATGACCAATAAAAGGCAGGAGATCTGTTCTGAGTGCCCAAGGGGAAGGACAGCAACAAGCAGCCCAGGAGATGGGGAAATGGCTTTGAGCCCCAAATCAGAAGTACGGTTAATGCAGGGGCACCAGGAGCAGCCCCTGCCCATGGGGCCGAATGATCACTTGAAGAGATGTTTGAGGGGCTAGTGGAAGATGAGGGGCTGATGAGGATGGAGAGTTGGGGGCCACTTGCCAAGGGACTCTTTAACGTGGGCTGAGGCCCCTGATTCTCAGGCCAAGGCAGGCAGATGGGAGAGAAAGGAAAGGGGAGGACCTGACCCTGGCACTGAGCCCACAGGGGGTACACCCCGCAGGAATGTGGCTGAATCAGACCCTTCACTAGTGGAGTAAGCTGAGCTCAGTGCCCAGTGAGGACTGTTTGAGACCCAAGACTCTGTCTCTAAGTTTGTATAATCTCCTGTGCTTGGTTTCAGGGGACCTGGAACGAATATATAGCCCACACCCTTGAGAGTCTATAAGTTGCAGAAGCAATACCCCCAGCGAGCATGGGAGAGATCAGGCAGGGGCACTTACGTGTTTACGAAAAAGGTCAGCGTGGGGTCCGAGCTGAGGATCAGCTTCCCGAACAAACTGCATCACGTCCTCGACTGTCCATGAGGAGGGGTCCCTGCCACTCAGTCGAGGGGCATCCCGGCTTTCCAGGTATCGGTCTGACCCTGCAGGACAGAAGGGTACCTGCTATCACAGGTGGGGACTGGTTTGAACTCCCTGCTACTCTCCTTGGCATGTCATGCAAGTCC